CACTTGGTCACAGGCAAATCCTACTGGTCCATCCATCTACCAAACCCCAGCGTCTACATGCTCATCTAACAAGGAGGTGTCAAATACCAAGTCTGAGTTGTTCCTCGTGCTGTGTGAGTTAGCATGGAGGGATTTCTTTTTGAATTTAAGACTTGATTTTCAACCTCAAGGAGGTCACAGTGTGCATGGTGAGACAAAGTTAGCACACATAAAACAACAGAAGAAAAATTAGGTGCTAAAGAGTGTGTAGAAACAGTCATAGCTGAGGGAATAGAACCAAGGGCCAACGCCGGGTGAGGCTTCAGGGAGGACACAAGAGGCCTGCAGGGTCTGGGAGGGGGAGGCGGGCATTCACCATGCCAGCAAAGTTTGGCTGAATCTACACTGATGTGGATTCAGGTTGGGCCAGGGAAGGTGACATGGAGATGAACATGGTCCACCTATATCCTGGGGCTGACAAACTGGCCTTGGTTTTAGGGCCAGCCTCAATGTCCCCAGGGACACATGGAGGACAGCACAATGAATGGAGAATGAGCCTTCATTCAAAGGAAAGAAAAGTGCTCGTTTTCCTTCCCCAGCTCAATTCTTTATTTACTCTTATTGTCATGCAACATTTAACAGCGACGAGCTCTGAGAAATGCATTCTTAGGCAATTCTGTCATCCAGCAGCATGTGCAGTGGAGACCCTTCCATTAGAGTGTACTTGCACAAACCTGGGTGGCAGAACCTACTACACACCTAGGCCATCTGGTATAGCCTAGTGCTCCTAGGTGACACACGTACAGCATGTTACTGTACTGAATACTGTATTTTTACTGTACTTTTTCTATATGTACATAGGTTTAGCTACACAAAGGTAAGCATTTATGTATCTAAACCTATCTACACATAGAAAAGATATCTTTTAAAAGAGTATTAGCATCCACAAAAATTACCTCCACAGTTTCCCTGGGGGTGATGTTTGCATGATGATCCTTACAGATGGGAAAGCTGTAAGCTGAGGCTTCCATGCATTTGCTGGTGAGTTAGGACAGAGCCGGGACTGGAATTGGCTTCCTGGCTGTGTAAAAGATAAACAGTGGTACACCTGTAGGGCACGGACCATGAACAGAGCTTGCAGGACTGGGGGTTGCTCTGGATGGGTCAGTGAGTGAATGGTGAGTGAAGCCCTGGGACACTACTGTACACCGGTGTAGGCTTTATAAACACTGGACACTTAGGCTACACTAAATCTGTCAAAGTAAATAAAGTAATTGCACTATGACGTTATGACGGCGATGACGTCACTACGTGATCGGCGTTTGTCAGCCCCGTTAGAATCTTACAGGACCATCATCGTCTGTACAGTTTGTTGTTGACTGAAATCTTGTTATGCAGCCCGGGTCCGTAGTTACTTCCAGTAGTGTGCTGGTAAATCCGCTCTCAAAAAGAAAAATAACGAAAAAGGAAAAGAGGTCTCACCTCATTGATAATGTGTGCTGATATCCATGGTGTAAATACACCCATCATGATGAGTTTCCAACCACCAGCGTGATGTCACCAAACGCAAAATTGGAAAGAGATACAGGAAATGGGCTCCGGCCGGCTGGTGCCAGTTAGCTGTAGCACAACGCTGGTTCTCCTTGGAGCCCTGGGAAGGGGCGACCCCGATTGTTCCTCCTCTGGGCTGCACATGGCCTGTGACCTTCCCAAAGTCACATGCTGCACTGAAGTGTTATCATCAATCAATAGAGCCATGCACATCACAAGCAAGCAGTGCGTCTCTAGCTGAGACTTACTAAATGTAAAGTGGGAGTGGCCTACCTCATTCAGCCCGGCACCCCCTGGGTGCTCATCATATGCAAGCCCCAATCCCATTCTCAGCCCTCCTCCCCCAAAGCTTATGATTGAAGGAGATTACTTCTAAGACGTAAGGGCCGTGATTTGTTCATTCATTCATTCAACAGACATTTTCCAATTGCCCACTCTCTGTGCCACACACTACACTGGGTGCCAGGGAGATGGTGGGGAACAAGACAGACATGGCAGCTACCTTGTGAAGCACACCAATGCTAGGAATTATGAGGGCCAGGCCCCCTGACTCTGGGTTCTGGTTTTGGCTCCACTTCCAACCTACTATATGGCCTTAAGCAACTCAGCCTCCTCCTTGGACCTCAGTTTCTTTACTTGTAAAGTGAAGAAGTTAGACTTAATGTTCACTAAAGTCTATCACAGCTTGAACCTTCTGTGGCTCCAGGGGGTAAAGAGAGGTCCAGATGGCCACCACAGGAGGAAGGGTTGGTTGGAGAAACCCAGAATGTCTCCATGGGAGAGCAGCAGGCAGGAAGTAGATTGGACCTCTGAAAATTCACCGTGAGCCCCGTGAAACAGGAGGGGACATGTTTTGTGTGGCTCCTGACAGTGGAACTCGTGGGTGGAAAGTGTAATGTGGGTGGGCGATTTTGACTCAATCTTGAAAGTTCTTGAGCACACTTGGAGCTGCTCAGCCATGGGATGGACCACCTTGTGAAGGAATGAGTACCTGCCATGCGATTAGAGGCTCAAGACCACCTGCCTAAGCCTCACAGACAGGATTCATGGCAGGGAGATCATGATTTTGTAAAGCACTGTGATCATCAGTTGTGAAGGAATGAAAAAAAGTTGTGTGGTCCATTGTGTTACTTGGTAAAGACAAATAGCATGCAAAAAAAATTACAATTACAAAGAACCACAAGTAGATACTTTTTAAAAAAGACTAGAATGGCCAGGCGCGGTGGCTCATGCCTGTAATCCCAGCACTATGGGAAGCCAAAGTGAGAGGATCACTTGAGGACAGGAGTTCGAGACCGACCTGCCCAACATGGCAAAACCCCGTCTCTACCAAAAAATACAAAAATTAGTGAGGGATAGTGGTACACACCTGTAGTCCCAGCTACTCGGTGGCTGAGGCAGGAGAATTGCTTGAACCCAGGAGGCAGAGGTTGCTGTGAGCTGAGATTGTGCTACTGCACTGCAGCCTGGGCAACAGAGTTAGACTCTGTCTCAAAAAAAAAAAACCTAGAAGGCAAACTATCAAAACACTAATAATGATTGAATTAGGATTAGGATTGTGAATGATGGTCATTTTTTCCCCATTGTCCTGTTTTTCAAATGTTTGGTAGTGTGGAAATGTTTTGAAACTAACGAAGTTGTATTGTTTATGGAAAGTCATTGAGATCAACCCTCATCCTGGGACAGGAAGCCTCTCTACAACCACTAAATTCTCTTCCAATCTCCCAGTTCTAAGAGGCTCACTCGGGCCTGCCAACCAGGGAGGTGGGAGGAAGGTTGCACTGGTGGGTGCTTGCTGAGTGCCAGACTCTGTGCTGGGTGCAGAGCCAAAGAAACAGTTTCAAAAACTGAGTGAGAAACAATTATCTCACTCAGTTTTTGAAACAGCCATGGGGCAGGTCCTGGATTATCAAGCAGTAAGGGTCCACCCAGGTCAAGGAGGGGTCCCCACTGGACATGGGGAAGAGGAATTTAGGGCGAGTGGATGAGCTGCCTGTTCAACCCCATAATTTGATGGAATCCAGGCCAAGAGTTTGGCCAGGTAGTCAACTGTGGGGTAGAGTCTGACTGATGAGGAGGTAAAGGGTTTCCTTATCTCCAGCTATGGACACATGCATGCATGCTCACACTGACACACAGCCTCAGCTCAGGCTAAAAGCACCTCGCTTTCCCCTACCAAATCTTCATATAATTCTTCCAAGAAAGTCAGCTTCTTGATGATGAACTCAACCCACATGGCTCTCACCCGGCCCTCACCTGGCATCTCCTTCTTGCTCCCCAAGCCCCCCTCTCCACTTCATTTCAGGCTCCCCATCCCCTTCCTCTGCCTTACCTATGCGTTCCCCCTGCCAGCACCTAATTCTGCTTCCCATGGAGAAAGGCCTCCCTGTTGACAGGGCCGTGCTGGGACTCAGGGCTGGCAAAGTCAGTCTCCTCGCATAAAAGGCTCAGTGAGTCTTGGAGACACTTGGAAGCCAGACAGAATGGAATTTCTCCCTATTTTCTTTACAGCTGAGAAAACACACACAAACACAAGAGCATATTTATTGCGATATTTCTATCCCAAAGTTTGTCTTTAAAAAAAAAAAAGAAATAAAATTAGTTTCTCTGCCCACTCCACCCCTATCCTCTCCCCCACCCCCACCCCACCTCTTTTCATTCCTTCCCATTTCCTGGTCTAGGCCAGGGAGAGAAACAGAGCGTCCAAGCCCCACAGAGCACTCCTGCAACCCGGACAATGTCCAGCTTGTTCAGAGAGTGAGGGAAGAAACACAGCTCCGAAAACATACACACAGCCTCCCAATGAAGGGTGTTCTGAGGGAAGAACAGGCGGGCCTTGTGTCTGAACACGAATCCCTGAGGCTCTGGGAAGAGAGGAGCCCGAAAGTCTAGACCCCTCCCCGGCATGGAGAAGACACCTTACCCTCTGCCCTCTGGGGAACTATTTCCCAGTCGCACTGGTCACACGGGGCTTGAACGAGAGCCCCTCATGGTGCCACAGCCTGCTGCCTTTTCTTAAAAAGGCAGTATCCAGGTAGAAAAATTCCTAAGGAGACACAAGGGGCTACATCTCAGAACTTTAGGATTTTCCAAACTTTCTCCAGTGTGGAGATGATGTGCCTCATGCATTTGCCTCGTACCCCAAGTGTCTGGGCACCCCCGACCCACTCAAGTTGACTCACAAAATTAACCATCACAGGAACTCATTCAGATGAGCCTTCACTGGCTGAAGATGGGAAGTCAGGTTTATTAGCCTAATGCCTGGAATTAAACTGAGAAACCTGGAGAGGTTTTGTGAGGGGAGGATTCTTGAAGAAAATATCTCACAAACCACGCGCAGCCTCCTTTTCTGGCAGTGATTCCAGGTCCCTGGGTGTGGAATTATCACTTTGCATCACATGTCACATGACCCTGTTTGACCTCACCATACCTTCACTGTCTAAATAATGCCTCTGCCTCCCCTCTTCCAGGTGAACTATGACCACTTTACTCTGGGTTTTTGTGACTCTGAGGGTCATCACTGCAGCTGTCTCAGTGGAAGTTTCAGGTGAGGACATTCATATGCATGTCTTATGTATTCAGTAGGCATGAGTACTGGGTTTGAGTACTGGGTACTGAACCTGGTGTTACTAGTCCCAGGGAAATATAATTTCCCCTTTCCTGGCCTTTTCCCGGCCCTGCCCTTTCCCTAATGATGCATGCATAACTGTGATAGGAGAGCACCCATGCGTGGACACAGGCATCCAGACCTCCAGGAGCCTCGCTCAGATAGCACTGCTCCTGGCTGCCCTAGGCCCCGACAGCTGGCAGAGAGAGCTCCTAGCAGGTGCCCTTCTTCCCTCCATGGATCTTGGCTAGTACTGCTGCATACTGAGCTTGCAGGAGGGGCAGGACATAGATAGACTAGTGGGGAAAGGGCCACTGAGGGAGGATAGGCTGGAGCACCTCAGAAAACAGGCCACTTGAGAGATAGCCAGAGAAAAGCCCCAGGGAATCAGACAGGTCTTTGCCTGCTTGGCAAACCACCTCCAGAAGCCCCAGCCTGGCCTTGTGCATGTGGCAGGCACTGGGTCTACTTCCACTAATTGAGCACTGGACCAAATGAGCAAACCTTCCACTGACCCCAGGATGGGCTTGACCCCAGAAGGGAAGGTATATCTCCCCTAGACTCAGATAAGAGAGGATGCTGCTCTTGGGTATACATTTTAGAGGCCCCACTGGCCCTTCAGCCTCAACCCTCTCCAAAGGAAGGGGAGTCAGTAGGGCCTATATGTCCATCCAAATCTGCACTTCTCCTTTAGAGCACATTCTGGGGTCCCAGAATGCCCAGAATTTCCTGTCTAAGTGGCCAGGCTACATCCAGGTCCTGCATGGGTCCATCCTCCTACGGATGGACCTATACAGGCACCGCACCCCTGATGGGAGCCACCATGGGCCCAAGGGAGGGCCTAAGGAGTGGCTGCTTGTATGGGGTGTGGGCAGAGCAGGGCTGTGAGGCTGAGATAAGCACAGCAGCTCGTGAGACCCCCTCACAGTGCACTCAGTGCAGGGAAAAGAAGGGCCCCACTCACCATGCTCCCACCCAGTGTTTTCCCAAGGCAAAACGCCAAGGAATCCAAGAATTCTGAATTGAAGTCTGTTTTTTCAGGTCATTCTGAAGGGTATCATTGTCAAACAGGAAGATAGAAGATAGAACATAGAATGTAACAATCGGTTGGCCCGATTTACAACTTTTGCATCTGCAGACATATAGGACAAGGGCCTTCATTTGTACTGTTGCTGGGAGACCCACAGCTATGCAGCCCCTGGCCATACCCGGCGGGGGTGGTTTGCCCACACAGGGAAACCAGTTCTTTAGGTTTGTGTGAGGACTTTAAAAACTGCTGAACACCACAGTCCCTTTCAGCTCTCCCCTGAGAGCCACTACTGCTAAAACCCAGCCATGTCCAGGGTGCGAGGTCCCAGCACTCAGAAGAAGATGCCTGTGAAAAGGGCCAATGGGACTGTCCAGGACATCAGAAGGTTAGGGCTGGACTCCAAGCATTCCTGGCTTCCCTTCACTTGCCCTGTGATGTATCTATCACCTAAAAATATTTCAAACCGTTTTTATTTCAATCTGTAGGCTCTCCTAAAAGAACAGGTTTCATAAATGTATGAGTCTCCATGAAAGGTGCTAATTTTTTTTTTTTTGAAAGCTGGTTTTTTCCCCACTCCCAGCAGATCTTTTACTTCTAACAAGATTTGGTAAGCTCATTGCACCCTCCCTATCAACACTCTCCATTATATTAATATTTCTGGAGTCTGATCCTATCCCATCACCTCTCCTGCATCTGACTCTTTGCAGATTGAAATGTCTAATTTTCTCAGATGCTTCTGCACCCGAAACCCCCGACTCCCAAACAGCAAAAGAGAGTGACTTATCTCAGCTGCAAAATCACACCTCCTCAAATGGGACACATCTTGGAAATTTTCTGTCTCAGCTTTAAAATTGTGTAGATTGCCTTTCTACCCCAAAATCTTTGAGTTAAGCTGTCACCCCAAGTAGATGGGTCCTGTTTTATTCTGTGCTTTGATGCCCCCTGTCGCACCCTAGTTTGAGAAACAGGGTGATGGTCTTGACACCGATATCTCCCCTGCCCTCCTCTGGAATCCTTTTCTGGCTCCATAATTTTGGTCTCAAGGTGCAGAGGCCAGGGGTCTTGTGGAACGCTGCCCTGGAAAAGGCATTGCAAGCCTTCCCACATGACACCAGAGCATCTCCATCATAGACACAGACACACTCATTGGATTTCTCTCTCTCAGGAGAGCTCATTGCCACAGGGACAGATGGGGAGGTGGGGTGGTCCTCTCTAGGCACTAACAGATCTCTCTTCCACCCCACCCCTCCACACAGACCATGACAACTCGCTGAGTGTGAGCATCCCCCAACCGTCCCCGATGAGGGTCCTCCTCGGGACCTCTCTCACCATCCCCTGCTATTTCATCGACCCCATGCACCCTGTAACCACCGCCCCCTCCACCGCCCCCCTCGCCCCAAGAATCAAGTGGAGCCGTGTTTCCAAGGAGAAGGAGGTAGTGCTGCTGGTGGCCACTGAAGGGCGCGTGCGGGTCAACAGTGCCTACCAGGATAAGGTCTCGCTGCCCAACTATCCCGCCATCCCTAGCGACGCCACCTTGGAAATCCAGAGCCTGCGCTCCAATGACTCTGGGGTCTACCGCTGCGAGGTGATGCACGGCATCGAGGACAGTGAGGCTACCATGGAGGTCGTGGTGAAAGGTGAGAGCCTCCCAGGGGGACGCTGCTTCACCCACAGAAAGAACAAGAGCGGTCTCTGCACCGTGCAGAAGCAGGCAGGCTGGCCTTCAAACCAGCTCCTCTACGGACCTCAGCCAAGTTATTTAACTTCGGCTGCTTTCTCTGTGACATGGAGCTGGTAATATCATTCTCTCTGGACTTTAGGGAGCACTAAATACTGCCTGGCTATAGTCACAGGTAACTGACGTTTGTCTTCCCAAGAATTCTGTGATCTGGTGGGTCTTGTGATGGTGCCCATTTTACAGACAAGCAAACTGAGGTCAAGTGACTTGCCTGGGACTACCCTGGAAATAAGTCAGAGCAGTCTCCTGACAGCTTGTCCTGGTGTCTTTTCCCTCCCCCTCCCCACTCCCTCATTCTCTGTTCCAGAAGCCAAAGCAAAGGCTGAAGACTCCCTGGTCTCTTTCTCTCTATGGTCCAAGGAGAACAGTCAGGTCCTTGGTTAGCTTCAGAACTTTGGCCAGCACCAGATTTTTCCCAGGGGAAGTACAGTGGGAGGCTCTGTCAAAGCCGTTCACTCCTATGCACAGCTTAAATGGATTTCCCACTAGGATGGCCCTGGGCTGAGGGTGCAGGGGGTTCTAAGTGTCTTTCCCCCAACACAACCTGAGGGTCCTGGAGTGATAAGAAAAAATTACAAGGAGGCAGATTTTAGTTTAATTCAATGAACTTTCTGATTATCAGGATTATCACAAGTCTTCAAAAAGGAATGCCTTATAAGGTAGTGAGCTCCCCATTACGGTGTGTTCCTACAAATTCAGAAGGATCACATGCAACGGTGTACAGGGGGTCATGCACCAGCCTGGGCCAGCCATTTCCCTGAGGTCCCTTTGACTCTTGCCATAAATCTGCAAGGACCTCAGTGATCAGAGACTGTGTCTGACCAGCGTTCCCACACGTGCACACGTGTGTGTCTTGCAGGCGTTGTGTTCCATTACAGAGCCATTTCCACGCGCTACACCCTTGACTTCGACAGGGCTCAGCGGGCCTGCCTGCAGAACAGTGCCATCATCGCCACACCTGAGCAGCTGCAGGCCGCCTATGAAGATGGCTTCCACCAGTGTGACGCCGGCTGGCTGGCCGATCAGACTGTCAGGTAAGCCCCAGCCCACCAGTGAGTGGCGGCCAGGAGTCAGAGGCTGCAGGCCAGTGGGACAGGTGCTGGGGTGGAACGTTGGCCAGCACTGAGCTGGTGCTAGCATGACACCATGGCCAGCCTAGGGGCCTCAGTCATGCCTTGGCCAAACAGGAGCTCAATGATCCATCCCAACCCCTTGTTATTGTTATTGTCTCTTGCAAATGGAATGAGGGACTGCTAGCAACCTTGCCCTCCACATCATAATTTTTCCTACCCATTTTTTTCTTTGCCACAATTTCCTCACTTCTGAACTTTGATGTTTTCTCTATTTTTGTAAAAGACCTTCCATCCTTTCTGTTTTTAACAAGGTAAGACATAACTTGAACCCCTGGGTGCTTCCTTGCCTGAGTGTAGGTGCTGGGGAGTGAGGTGTAGAGCAGTCCAGATAGACCCTGCCCTCAAGGGATCTCAATGCACTCCAAAGGCAAGATGATGTCACTCATTCTGGGAGCATCACAGCTCCAACAGCCAGCGCCACAAAGTCTCAGGAAGAAAACATAGGAAAATGTCTTTGCAATCTTGGGGTAGGCAAGGAGACCTTAGGATACAAAAACCATAGCTGTAAAAAAGGATGAGACAGCTGGGCGCAGTGGCTCACGCCTGTAATCCCAGCACTTTGGGAGGCCAAGGCGGGTGGATCACGAGCTCAAGAGTTCGAGACCAACCTGACCAACATGCTGAAACCCCATCTCTACTAAAAATACAAAAATTAGCTGGGCATGGTGGTGCATGCCTGTAGTCCCAGCTACTCGGGAGGTTGAGGCGGGAGAATCACTTGAACCAGGGAGGCAGAGGTTGCAGTAAGCTGAAATCACTGCCACCATACTCCAGCCTGGTGACAGAGCAAGTCTCTGTCTCAAAAAAAAAAAAAAAAAAAAGAGAGAGAGAGCGACAATATTCTAGCATAGTGCAAGAGCCCACACTGGAGCCGTGTCAGGAGCTGGATTCAAATTCCAGCTCCAGCACTTGGAAGCTGCGTGATTGTGGACAAATCATTTAACATCTCTGAGCCTCAGTTTCTTCTAGTGTAAAGGAGATTGATGATAGCACCTGCCTCATTGGGTTGATGTGAGACTCAAATGACACAGAGAAAGGCCTGACAAACTATGGCCAGAGGCCAAGTTCAGCCCTCTTCTTGTTTCTGTGAATCAATTTTCATTGGCTGCAGTCACACCCATGTGTGTATTGTCGGTGGTTGCTTCATGCTACAGTGGCAGAAGAGTGGTCACCACAGACACTGTGCAAAACCTAAAATATTTACTGTCTTGTTTTGGAGACAGAGTCTTGCTCTGTTGCCCAGGCTGGAGTGCAATGGCATGATCTCGGTTCACTGCAACCTCTGCCTCCCGAGTTCAGGCAATTCTCCTGCCTCAGCCTCCTGAGTACCTGGGATTACAGGTGCCTCCCACCACGCCCGGCTAAATTTTGTATTTTTAGTAGAGATGGAATTTCACCATGTTGGTCAGGCTGGTCTCGAACTCCTGACCTCGTGATCCACCCACCTCAGCCTCCCAAAGTGCTGGGATTACAGGTGCAAGCCACTGTGCCTGGCCTATCTGGTCTTTTATAGAAAAAAATATGTGATCCTGAGATATTTAATTGGCAAAAAAAAAAAAAAGAGAAAAAAGGTCTCTCTCTATATGTGTGTGTGTGTGTGTGTGTGTGTGTGTGCACGCCCCTGATAGAGAAAGCATTAAAGGGGGGCTGCCTTTAATCATTATTCACTGTTAAAACAGATAAGCAGTTCACATATTCAGAAGAGACACGCCAAATGCAATGTTAAGTCACTGTTTCCTCCCATGAGGGAGGAGGATTCAAGGGCAGAGGCCATGGGCTTCCCTGTCCCCTGAGTGTCACACCTCCATTTGGGGTTCCTGGCAGATATCCCATCCACACTCCCCGGGAAGGCTGCTATGGAGACAAGGATGAGTTTCCTGGCGTGAGGACATATGGCATCCGAGACACCAATGAGACCTATGACGTATATTGCTTCGCCGAGGAGATGGAGGGTGAGCTTCCCTGCCACCAGGAGGCACCTAGCTCCCTTCCTGAGGGCCCTTCCCCTCTCCATATCCCCATGGACATTTGAGATCACACAGGGTGCCAGCTCAGGGCCTGACACCCTCCATCCCCTTCTGCCATGAAGGGAGGTGGGCTGGGGCTTACAGGTCTGGACCTCTCATTCTCTTTGGAGAGGGTCTCAGTGGTCCCAACATCTGCAAAATGTCTGGTGTCACCACTGGGCCCAAGAGCACCTGTCACCAGAAGTCACTCACCTGGGATTGCCCCTCCCAGCTGGGATCCCAGCTGCTGTGACCAGCCCATCCCTGTTCTAAGGTCCCCTGTGCCGTCAAAGTCCAGCCCAGCCATGGCCCCCTCACAAGCGACACTATACCAGCAACGTAGCACCTAGGGCAGCTGGCCGCCCAGCCACCCTCTCCCAGCCTGGACTTTTTCTGTTTTGTAAAGGGCACCAGTTTTGGTCACAGAGTTAGCCAGGCCCGTGGATGCCAACCTTTTCCCCATCTGCACCCAGATACTCCTTTGTACATTCCAGACTCTGCAATGTCTGTCTCCTCCCTCCCTGTTCACCCCCGCTTCCCCTCACCTGAGTACAGTGCCCACAGCTCCTCCAGGCTGGGGAGAAGAGCTGGCAACTGGCTTTCTGAGTGAAGGGCTGTGGCCAGACTTTCTCACCACCATAGCCCCCTGCTGCATTCCCACCCCAGGGGCCAAACCCATGTATTAGGTAGCAAGTTATTTGTGCGTTCCCACATTTGGCTAACCAAAGACAAACAGAACCGCCATTTAGAGATGCCACTGAGCAGGGTAGCCAGAACCACCCCCGTGAGCAGAGCCCCGCTGCCCCATCCCTACCCTTGGCACAACCCTGTTAGGTTTTTGGAAACTTGTTTTTTAAGCTCACAGTCCCCAAATGATGCCCTTACAGACTCTTCAGGGTCTAGAGACCCAGGGTTTTTTTTTGGAATCACTGCTTCAAGGGCTCAAGATCGGATGTCTGCTGTTCTCAGGATAACTTGAGTTTTTTAAAAGGATTTGCCTTGAGTAGGCAGTGCTTAACTCCTAGGAAAGCTTCCCCTAGTGATGGGAAGCAAATGGACCAAAGAGGCTTTTAGCAGAATTTTCCTCCCAGATTTCAAATTTGCTTCCACCAATCTCCCTGCCATTTTTTTTTTTTTTTTTTGAGATGGAATTTCACTCTTGTTGCCCAGGCTGGAGTGCAATGGCATGATCTTGGCTCACTGCAACCTCCGCCTCCCAGGTTCAAGCAATTCTCCTGCCTCAGCCTCCCGAGTAGCTGGGATTACAGGCATGCGCCACTATGCCCAGCTACTTTTGTGTTTTCAATAGAGACGGGGTTTCTCCATGTTGGTGAGGCTGGTCTCGAACTCCCGACCGCAGGTGATCCACCAGTCTTGGCCTCCCAAAGTACTGGGATTACAGGCGTGAGCCACTGCACCCGGCCTTTGCTGCTTCTTTCTTGGTCCTCTTGTTTTAGGAAATTGATGTTGTCCTACACAAAAGCCCAGAAATAAGCAATGAAGGGCAAGATCTGAGATACAGACACTTGGGACCAGGATTTTGGGAAGTCAGAGGACTCCCAAGACTTCATGGAAAAGTGTGGATCTCTCTGGGGATGTGGCGCAGGGGGAGGAGGAGGAGACCCTCATTCAGCCAGCTGTGTCCTTCACAGGTGAAGTCTTTTATGCAACATCTCCAGAGAAGTTCACTTTCCAGGAGGCAGCCAATGAGTGCCGGCGGCTGGGTGCCCGGCTCGCCACCACGGGCCAGCTCTACCTGGCCTGGCAGAGCGGCATGGACATGTGCAGCGCTGGCTGGCTGGCCGACCGCAGTGTGCGCTACCCCATCTCCAAGGCCCGGCCCAACTGCGGGGGCAACCTCCTGGGTGTGAGGACCGTCTACCTGCATGCCAACCAGACGGGCTACCCCGACCCCTCATCCCGCTATGACGCCATCTGCTACACAGGTGGGGCAGGGCTGGAGGTGGGAAGGGGGTTCATGCCACTAAAATGGGGTCCTAGAGGAAGAGAAGGTCTTGGAAAGGGAGGGTTGGTTTTTACCCTTGAAGGGGCCACTGGTACCTGAACCCCCTGTTTTTAGGACACCCCTCCATTTTCACTGGTTCCTAGGAAGCACTAAGGTAGAGTCTCTGGAGACTGCAGCGTATCCAGCCCGGTCTCATTAGATCAGCACAGAAAAGAGTTAAAAGCATGAGCTTAGAGTCTGTGTTTTCTCCAGTTTGAATCAAAGCCCTGCCACCTACTGCTGTGCAGCCCTGGCAAAGTCAAGGCCCTGAACCTCACTCTTCTCATCTGTCTAGTGGGGAGATGGGGTGCTGCCTGGGAAGACGTTGGGGGTCTGATATGAGACCCTGGCACCCACGGGAGGGCGCTGCTGTCTGCCTTTTAAAATCGAATGTGTTTAACAGGAGGGTCAAAATGGGTTTTGTTGTGTTTCGGGGTTTTTTGTTTGTTTTCCTTTGAGACAGGGTATCCCTCTGTTGTCCAGACAGAAGTGCAGTGTTGAGATCACAGCTCACTACAGTCTTAGCCTCCTGGGCTCAAGTGATCCTCCCTCCTCAGCCTCCAACGTAACTGGGCATATAGGCACCACCATGCTCTGTTAATTTTTTTTTTTTAGAGATGGGGTCTTGTCATGTTGTCCAAACTGGGCAAAATTTTATTATTATTATTATTATTATTATTATTGTGACAGAGTCTCACTATGTTGCCCAGGCTGGAGAGCAGTAGCACAATCTTGGCTCATTACAACCTCCATCTCCTGGTTTCAAGTGATTCTTCTGCCTCAGCCTCTTGAGTAGCTGGGATTACCAGTGCACATTACGATGCCCAGCCAATTTTGTATTTTTAGTAGAGTTGGGGTTTCACCATGTTGGCCAGGCTGGTCTTGAACTCCCGACCTCAGGTGATCCACCTGCTTCAGCCTCTGAAAGTGGGGATTACATGCATGAGCCACCATGCCCAGATGCAAAATATTATTGAAAAGAGTAGGGGAAAGTTTGATGGGGACTTTATTTTGAAAACTTAGACCAAATGTTTAAATAAGTTTTTATCTTATATTTAACACATTTTGGGTTATAATTATAATTACATGCTAATTCTTGGAGGAAAAAGCAATGCATCACATAAATGAGGAGTTGCAAAACTCTCATGTCTTAAGTGGCTAACACAATGACAACCCAGTTCATTTCCAAACCCGATCTTAGAGGAAGAGGGTTGCTTTTGCAACAATAGTTGGGAATTCCTCCTTGAAGCCTCTCTTAACCTATTCTAACCACTCTTTTGGAGGTAGTATCACTCTCATGAGACCCTCATTTGTTTGTGACTATGACACAGGCAGTTCTCCAAAGCCACCTTCATCAATTTCACAAACTGCACCTTCTGCAAGATTTTCTAATTTCTCTTTATAACTGACTTACCTGGTCCCATTGGAAAGTTACACATCAGACGGTTGGCAAGGTGAATGCGTGAAGCAGCAGCTGTGTGGAGCAGGAAGGGATGCTGGGACAGGAACTGCTCTTCATGAGCAGTCAGCTCATTGGTCAATATCCTGCCTTCTGATAACTCTTGCACTCTTTTGCAATCTTGAAACTGTGGAGAGGCCTGTAATGAACACGCTGATGGCTGGGTACTCCTACAATGGGCTTGGCAAGGTGCTTGGCACACAGTGGTGCCCTCCTGCCCCAGCGGGGAAAGAGAAGGAGCCATGCTCACCTCCAGCGCCCTCCTCGTCACCCTCAAGCCAGTCCCTCGAGAGGCTAAGAGGCTACACTTCTTAGGCTGAGAGGCTAAGGCTTGTCTTTGCCCCCTCCTCCAGGTGAAGACTTTGTGGACATCCCAGAAAACTTCTTTGGAGTAGGGGGTGAGGAGGACATCACCATCCAGACGGTGACCTGGCCTGACGTGGAGCTGCCACTGCCTCGAAATATTACCGAGGGTGAAGCCCGAGGCAACGTGATCCTTACTGCAAAGCCCATCTTCGATGTCTCCCCCAGTCCTCTGGAGCCTGAGGAGCCCTTCACATTTGCCCCTGAAATAGGGGCCACTGCCTTTCCTGAGATTGAGAATGAGACTGCAGAGGCCAGCAGGCCCTGGGCCTTTCCCACGCCTGGCCTGGGCCCTGCCACAGCCTTCACCAGTGAGGATCTCGTTGTGCAGGTGACTGCTGTCCCAGGTGCAGCTGAGGTCCCTGGGCAGCCGCATTTGCCAGGGGGTAAGTAGCTGCCCATGGATGCATCCAGGGGCAGGTGGAGAGAATTTGGCCTGGGGGGGAAGGGACTCCCGCAGTTGAAGTCTGTAACTTCTACTTAACCTGGCACCTGAGACAATCTTCTCTCCAATCAGACCTTGTTCTTTTCATCTGTGAAACAAAAAGAATAGGCCAGACTAGTCAGATCCACACTCTTTTGCCATCAAGGATTTATTTCAAATGAGGTCATATGTGGAAACCAGTCTCTATATAAAGCAGACACACGTGCCACGTAGACCTAAGGGAAGTGGAGTGGAAAGCAACCGGGCCTCCTTCTGTCCAGGGCCCCTCCTTGTCTCATTAGACACCCCCAAAAAACAGAGCCACTAGAAAAACACTGCCTTGGATGACCCCTGAGGCCTGTCACTGCTCTGACCTCCCAGGACAAAGGCCAGCAAACTGTGGCCTTTCTGAAGTCATATGGCCCATGACTTAAGAATGATTTTTACATTCTTAAATAGGGGCAAAAAGTCAAATATTCAAAAAGTCAATATTTTGTGACACATGAAAATTATATAAAATTCATATTTCATAGTCCACAAATAAAGTTTGATTGGAACGAAGCCATAGCCGTCTGTGGATGGGTTGTTTATGGCTAACAGAGGACAATCACAGCGGGGTTGAATAGACAGGTTTTCATGTCCTGATTCCACCAACCATGGATGGAAAATATTCCAAAAGAAAAGAAATAATATTATTTTGTTTTATTTCATTTCCATGAGAATTACTGAATTATTCTTCAATTTGCAATTTTGGAAATTGAATAAAATAACAACACAACAATAAAAGTAACATAGATTTGGCCAGGCACAGTGGCTCACGCCTATAATCCCAGCACTTTGGGAGGCCGAGGCAGGTGGATCACGAGATCGAGACCATCCTGGTCAACAAGATGAAACACCATCTCTACTAAAAATACAAAAATTAGCTGGGCATGGTGGTGCGTGCCTATAATCCCAGCTACTCAGGAGGCTGAGGCAGGAGAATTGCTTGAACCCAGGAAGCAGAAGTTGCAGTGAGCCGAGATCACGCCATTACACTCCAGCCTGGGTAACAAGAGCGAAACCCCGTCTCAAAAAAAAAAAGTAACATAGATTTAAAAACAATACAGTGTAACTACTATGTCCATAGCATTGACATTGTATCATTGTATCAGGTGTTAGAGGGAACCTAGAGGCCATACTATTTTCATTTCCGGGACTTGAGCAAATGTGGTTCGGTATCTGAGGAGATCCTGGATGGCAAAGACAACTGTAGTTGTAACAGAAGCCACATAGTCCACAAAGCCTAAAATATTTACCATTCAACTCTTTCCAGAAAACGCTTCTCGCTCCTGATCTAAGATGACAGTGTTGTAGGTGCTTAACACGTGTGAGAATCGGATGTCAGGCAGCATAGAGCCCAGTGCTTCCCAAACTCCAGTCTATGAACAAGGACATTCTGGCGTGGCCTTGTTCCACAGGGGCCTTGGTGGGTTCCCACGCTGCCATCCACCATCACACCCATGTGGCTACCAAGTGGGATTTCAGCCTGCATTGCCCAAATAGATCCAGTGTGTCAGGCAGCAGGAGTTGGACTCCCTCTGTGCCCATGGAGCCTTGGGCACTGCACAGTGTGGGTCCACGAACCTGACCACTGCCTCCTCTTCTCCCGCTCCTCCCCACCCAGGAGTCGTGTTCCACTACCGCCCGGGACCCACCCGATACTCGCTGACCTTCGAGGAGGCGCAGCAGGCCTGCCTGCGCACCGGGGCGGTCATTGCCTCTCCAGAGCAGCTCCAGGCCGCCTACGAAGCTGGCTATGAGCAGTGTGACGCCGGCTGGCTGCGGGACCAGACTGTCAGGTGAAGCCGTGCTCCTTGCCCAACACAAACCCAACTGAGGAGGTCAGGCTTAAGGAGCCACAGCCTGGCCTGGCCCCCAGCACACTGACCACCCAATACCTTGTGGGTTGATTAATTAATTAGTGACTCAACTGAGGCATATCCCGAAAGGGTGGTGAAGGGCACCGGGTCCTGTTCAGTTCTTGGTCATTTCTCCCCATCAGACAGAGGCGGCAGCCCCCTCCTCAAGTGCCCCGTTTCCTTCCAGCCTGACCCCGTGCCCTTCCATGCAGCTGCTCTCGCCTGAAGACAGAAATCCCCCAGGAGCCACCAGACCCTTCCCCAGGCTGCTAGGAGAACTTGCTGCATGAGGGGCTCCTTCCTGGTTTGAATCCACCAGACAACTGAAGACGTGCCCAAGTCCCTGAGCAGCCTCTGGCCTCAGCCCAGCGCCCTGCATCCACCAGCCCCTGGAACAGGCCTTCATCTTCTCCTCCCACTGTCCTTTGCAGATACCCCATTGTGAGCCCACGGACCCCATGCGTGGGTGACAAGAACAGCAGCCCAGGAGTCAGGACGTATGGCGTGCGCCCATCAACAGAGACCTACGATGTTTACTGCTATGTGGACAGACTTGAGGGTACAGGCCACATTCTCACATTTTGGGCCCTAGATAGGCAGGGGGCTGACAGGGCAATACAAAGAAGAGAGGGAGTTACCACCCACCCACCCCGGATCCCACCCAGCTTTCCAGGTGGAAAAGGGTCCTGCTGAGAAAGGAAGGCCCCCCAGCCCCTCCCTTAGAACCAGCCCCTGTTCTCCTCCTGAATGTTTCATGTGGTCTCAGCATTGCAGCGGAGCATCGGTCCCTTTAAAAAGCAATGAGATCTGTGGGTAAATGTCAGTTTATCATAAATAGATGCTATATACACCAACTGCTTCTTGGAGAGTCCCAATGCCTGGGCAAAAATCAAAGGCACTGAGAAGTCCTACAGTAAACAAACAAGCAAAAACTGCTTTAGGCCAGGCACAGTGGCTGACATCTGTAATCCTAGCACTTTGGGAGGCCAAGGCAGATGGATTGCTCTAGCCCAGGAGTTCGAGACCAGCCTGGGCAACATGGCTAAACTCCGTCTCTACTTATTTTTTAAAAAAGAAAAAGGGCCAGGTGCAGTGGCTCATGCCTGTAATCTCAGCACTTTGGGAAGCTGAAGCAGGCAGATCACGAGGTCAGGAGCTCGAGACCAGCCTGACCAACATGGTGAAACTCCATCTCTACTAAAAAGACAAAAATTAGCCAAGTGTGGTGGTGTGTGCCTGTAATCGCAGCTACTCAGGAGGCTCAGGGAGGAAAATTACTTAAACCTAGGAGGCGGAGGTTGCAGTGAACTGAGATCGTACCACTGTACTCCAGCCTGGTGACTGAGACTCTGTCGAAGGAAAGAGAAAGAAGAAAGAAAGAAAAGAAAGAAAAAAAGAAGGAAAGAAAGAAAGAAAGAAAAGAAAAAGCAAGGAAGGAAGGAAAAGAAAGAAAGAAGGGAGGGAAGGAAGGAAGGATGGAAGAAAGGAGAAACTTCCTTAACTCTCTTTAACTCAGCATTGCCCAATTTTTAACCACAGACCTTTATTTTCTTCTATTTCATATCTTTTAATTTCCAGGAAAATTACCAAATTATTCTCCCACTGAATGCAATTTTGGAAATGCTGGTGTTCCAGAAAGATTTCAGTATTGCCACTCACTTATTTCAAGACCCTGGCCAAGTCACTTAACCTCTCTAGGCCTCAGTTCCTTCATCTATAAAATGGGGCTGATTTATATGTACATCAGAGGCTTTGTTTTTTAGTATTAAATGAGATATATATGAAAAGTTCTTGGCACAAGTAAGTGTTTGGTTAAGTGTAAGCTCTCCTCCCACTGATCTGGATAGGTACTGGGTGCATTGCTAGGTCCTGGGACCCAGCCCCTGCCCTGGATGAGTTCCCAGGGCGTGAGGTGAGCAGGTCCCCAGTAGTCACAGTGATAAGTGCAGTGGTGTAGGGGTGCACAGGGATTGGAGGGGACCCAGGAGAGCCGCCTCGCTTACCTAAGGGAGGGGGTGCCTAAGTGTGACTGGAGAATCCAGAAAACAAGGAAGGAGGAGAAGTTATTGTGGAAACAACTCAGCCCAGTTTGCCTGGAATTCTGGCTTTTTTGGCACCGAGAGTCCTGTGTCCCAGGAAACCCCAGTCCAGTACAAACCAGCATGGTGATCACCTATTTCTCAGAGTCCCAGAAAATCTAAGGCGGAGTGGTCAAAGGAAGGGTGTGATGGAGCTGGGCGGGGCCTCTTAGCCCTGGTGAGGAGGGTTGGAGGAGCTCTGTCCCAGATGGGCAGGGACTGATCTGGCCGGAGTGTGGAGGGTCATTCTACCACTTGCCTCTGCCCCCAGGGGAGGTGTTCTTCGCCACACGCCTTGAGCAGTTCACCTTCCAGGAAGCACTGGACTTCTGTGAATCTCACAATGCCACGCTGGCCACCACTGGCCAGCTCTACGCCGCCTGGAGCCTCGGCCTGGACAAGTGCTATGCCGGCTGGCTGGCCGACGGCAGCCTCCGCTACCCCATCGTCACCCCAAGACCTGCCTGTGGTGGGGACAAGCCAGGCGTGAGAACCGTCTACCTCTACCCTAACCAGACGGGCCTCCCGGACCCGCTGTCCCGGCACCATGCCTTTTGCTTCCGAGGTAGGCATCCTTGCCTGGGCCCCAGCAGCCCCTTTTGTCTGGAGAAGATTCCCCTGGGCTCACCCCTCCTGGCACCGCCCACTCTCCCATCCATCAGAGCAAGAAAAAGTCAGTCCCTATGGGGCAGGGCCAGCTCTGAAACCAGCATGACGCAGGCTTTGACCTCAAGGCAAGGTCATCCTTCTAAAGTTCCCCAGAGACAAGTAGAGATAAATAAGAACTTGGGCTCATATTTATCTCTACTGGAAATGAGGCAGGTCTGAACTTGATGGTTCTGCTACTTAAGAGCTGTGTGAAAATGCTACTTCAGAGACAGCTGCAAGAATTGAGTGCATGTGATGCCCTTGACATAATGCCTGGGACACAGTAAATGCTCAATAAATGTTAGCTTTATTTCGTATACTTATATATATGTAAAGCTATCATATATAGCTTTATTTTATACAACCTGTAATTTGTACACACTTGTCAAATTCTCTCCTGCTTGAAACTATTTCTGTGTTGAGTTCAGTGAAATTATTCTATTATTCTCCACTAAGCACTGTTGATTCATATTTTTCATTGACTCATGCTATGGATATGCTAGCATTTCAACCATGACTCCCAGTTGGACTTCTGAGAGTGATGTCATCAAGCAGTGTAGTAGGTGTGGCCAGGGTGTAGCCAAGGTATTGCAGGGCTCTGATTGGATGAGTTCCTGCACAGTCCATGGAGGGTCTGAGTGCATGAATCAGAATGTAGATTGTAATAACATCCTGTGCCATGTTTCAGATATTTTACATCAAAACTGAGTGTCTTCGCAACTTCCTTTGAATCTATAATTATTTTCAAAAAACTTAAGGGAAAAAAATTTGAGTGTCCCCAAGTTTCCCAGATTCCAGGGTCACCTTTTAAAATCCAATTCAAGGCTGCGAGCAGTGGCTCACACCTGTAATCCCAGCACTTTGGGACGCAGAGGCAGGCAGATCACTTGAGGTCATGAGTTCAAGACCAGCCTGGCTAACATGGCGAAACCCTGTCTCTACCTTTTAAAAAAATGCAAAAATTAGCTGGACATAGTGTTGTGTGCCTATAATCCCAGTTACTAGGGAGGCAGAGGCAGGAGAATCACTTGAACCTGGGAGGCGGAGGTTGCAGTAAGCCAAAATTGCTCTGTTGCACTCCAGCCTGGGCAACAGAGCAAGACTCTATCTCAAAAATTAAAAAAAATTCAAAGTTCAGCTCCACTCAGTCTCAGCCAGCCTCAAAAAGTCAAATCTCCCAGAGGTTCTGATGAGGCTCTTGTCCCAGTGCCTCTCTCCCTGCTCTGGGAAGCAGAAGCCACGCCAGTTAGCCTCCCAGGAGCTTCCCAGCCATGCTATCCCCAGCCTCCCACCCCTGCCCCCCATGAACTCAGCTTTGTCTATTATCCTACACAGCTCAGCAGGATATTTCTGACCAAGCCCCTGCTGATTTTCCCCACACCAGAACAGTTGCCCCCAGTGCATGAATCCTGCCTTCACACTTTGAAATGCTGTGATGGTTTCATAGAATTTAAGCACCATCCTCCTATTTTTGGCCCTGACACACTTGGCACATAATCTCTGTCCCCAGGATCAGCAGCATTGTTCAGTAGTTGAGAGCGCAGAGTCTGGCACCAGATGCCTGAATTCAAAGACTAGATGTGCCAGTTGTAAGCCATTGACCCTGGGCAAATAATGTATCTCTGTGCCTCAGTTTCCCCATCTGTGAAATGAGATGATTGTATCTCTCTCATAAAGTTGTTGTGAGATAAAGTGATTCCATATGCATAAGCCTTTAGAGCAATGCCTGGCATGTGTGATTGATTCTACAGGGGAGATGCCCCAGATCACCCGGAACAAAACTGCTGATGGTGCATATGGATGTTGTATCATTGGTGCTGATGGCTCTTACAAGTGAGAAGAGCCATCCGCTGAATTAGGAGGTGGGGCCTGGCCTACCTCAGAGTCCCCTAACTCCCCTCAAGAAGGGCCAGCCAAGGATGGGTCACTGCTAAGAGAGGGACTCACTCTCACCACCCACATCTTCTCTAGGCGTTTCAGCAGCTCCTTCTCCAGGAGAAGAAGAGGGTGGCACACCCACATCACCCTCTGGTGTGGAGGACTGGATCGTGACCCAAGTGGTGCCTGGTGTGGCTGCTGTCCCCATGGGGGAGGAGACAACTGCTGTACTCTTAGGCGAGACTACTGCAGTCCCAGAGTTCACCACTGAGCCAGAAAACCAGACAGAATGGGAACCCGCCTACACCCCAATGGGCACATCCCCACTGCCAGGTTGGTATAGCTTGGGTTCTGGGTCACACCCTGAAGCTGTATCCCCCTGTCTGCCTACAGTGTGCCTGGTGGAACAAGGGTTTCCCTCCCTGGGACTTGTGCTGTTTCCCCAGCCCTGACACTAGCTGGGTGTGCTGCTGTGGACAATTTTATCCGCCTTAGCTGGCCTTTAGGACCTGCCCTAGAGTGATAAAAACAGCCTTGTTCAGAAAACGCTGCTATACACATTTACCGTTCTGTTATTTCCCTTGCACACACCCCCAAATGCCCTGGACTGTGCTGATCAGAGGCCCCTCAGTTACCTTGTCCTCCTGCATTGACACTCTTACCCTAACCTCAACCCTCTCTTACAGGAGGAGAAAAAACCAGGGACGGGGTTACTGTTGGCAGTCTGACTGTGACTGTCTCCTCGCCTTTCTCCTCCTTCCATGTCCCTCTTCTGGGCCAGCCCATCTCAGCCAGAACTTCCTGAACTCCATCTGTCACAATTAAACCAGAGGAGACTTAACAGGATAAAAGCATCAGTCCCTAAACCTTGTTGGTAAAGTGTTTTGTGGCCACTAAAGTTTAGGAAACACTGGCTTACAGAGATTAACCGGTTTCCTCACTGCAGACTTCTCAGAGCCTTGAATATGCTAGCTAATATGCACTGTAAGTCTCCGAGAGGAGGTGAGAGATGTAGTGTGTCCCAGATGAACCTGACCACAGAGCCTGCCCCCACTCCCACAGAGCACTGTTAACATCTAGCGGCTTCCAGCTGAGGTAAGCCTGATTTAAAACAGTGTACAGTAGTGTGTGTGTGTCCAGGCAGTTCTCCTGAGGGTACATGCATCTGAAAAAAGGAGTGTATCCGAGCTCCTGCTAACTCATCCAGCCATGCATCAGCATTCTGTGCACGGTTCTAGAGCAATTTGGCGGTGCCAGGCGCTCTTCTGGGCACTGGAAATGCAAAGCCTGTTCTCCCTCCATAGCAGAAGGTTAGGGTGCCTCTGTAGAGCAGGGGCAAGTCTGGCCCAGCAGCCTCACCCCACAGTCGCACCTACTCGTGGCCTCCCTCGTCCTTCACCAGAACAAGAATGACAGTCCTCTTTGGCATCAGGGTATGACTTTGCACAGGACTCTGGCAACCACTAGTGGGAAGTTACCAGTGGGGAAGTAGCTCCAGCAGCCCCATAGAAATGTTTTCCAGACTTCAGTTCCTGACCACCTTGCTGATTTCAGCCATATCTGGGAACCGTCTGCACTATCGTTTGTTCCATGTCTTTTGCTTTAAATTGACTTGCTTTCAAAAAACAAATGTAAATCCGAGTGTGGTAGCTCATGCCTGTAATCCGAGCACTTTGAGAGGCCAAGGCGGGAGGACCACTTGAGGCCAGGAGTTTAAGACCAGCCTGGCCAACATGGTGAAACCTAGTGTCTACTAAAAATACAAAAATTAGCCAGGCGTGGTGGCATGCACCTGTAGTCCCAGCTACTCAGGAGGCTGAGGCAGGAGAATCACTTGAACCCAGGAGGTGGAGGTTGCAGTGAGCAGAGATGGCACCACCACACTGAGGTCTGGACTACAGAGTGAGACCCTGTCTCCAAAAAAAAAGAGAAAGAAATGTAAATGTATTTAAGAGAGAACTGTTATATTATAAATGCAAATGGTCATCCTGGTGTGTTTCATAGATAGATAGATACATACATACATACATATCAAAATCAAAATAATCTTTTTCTGGGTCCTGCCCAGCTAATTTTTTTTTTCTGCATGGCACCACTGCTACCCTTCAGGCCCCGCTGCTCCCTCTATGATTCTCCCTCAGCAAGAACAAACTGAACCTGCTCAGTGGACCCAGCACCCTCAGCGCTCAGGGGCCCCATCTGGGAAGTAGGCCCCATGGTATGCACAAGGTTAAAATGCAGTGCGGGAAAAAAGACCTAAAGCAAAGGATGTAGCCTTGATTATTTAGAATTGCGAGGTTTCCTTTTTTCCTTTTCTCTGTTTTTCAAATGGTCTGTAATAGGGTTCTCAGAATTGGAAAAAGTCACCGTATGTCTACAAACAGTACCACCTTTCCCTCCCTTCCTCAGAGGGATCGCTTAAGATGAACAGTTCTTACATTCAAGTGACGTCCAGCATCACAGTGAGGGCTTGCTAAAATGCAGCGTGCCAGGCTCCTCCCTGGAGGTGCTGAATCAGTGGGGCTGCGGTGAGGTCTAGGAATTTGCTTTTCTATCGAGCTCCCAGAGGATGCTGGCACTGCGAGTCCAAGCTTTGAAAACCATGACACCAGATCAATGAGATGGAAATATGGAAGTACTTGCAGGATGACCTTGGTGGTCTTTGGCGGTGGCCAGGCCCCCACATCCAGTGGGTTGTGGATGGTGGCCCCGTGTCTCAGCCTGTGTAGCCCGTGGTCCTGTGGGCGATTGGGGGAGCTTCCTAATTCCCTATCTCCCTCCTTCCCTTCTCCCTATCCTCCTTCCTTCCTTTCTCCCTATCCTCCTGCCTTCTTCCTTCCCTCCCTCCCTCCCTTCCTCTCTCCCTCCCTCCCTCCCTCCCTCCCTCCCTCCCTCCCTCCCTCCCTTCCTTCCTTCCTTCCTTCCTTCCTTCTTTTCTCCCATCCTTCCTTCCTTTGATATTTTACACATTTCCATTACAAAGCATCTAGACACATCTCTAAGCTCTTGAGAGAAAAATTTTACTGTGGAAAAAATGAAGTTTAGATTCTATATATGAGCTTAAAATGGGGCAGAGTTAACAAACTCACATCTCATCTTTCTTCCTTCTTTCCTACAGGGATCCTTCCGACTTGGCCTCCCACTGGCGCAGCAACAGAGGAAAGCACAGAAGGCCCTTCTGCAACTGAAGTGCCCTCTGCCTCAGAGGAACCATCCCCCTCAGAGGAGCCATTCCCCTCGGTGGAACCATTCCCCTCAGTGGGGCCATCCCCTTCGACGGAGCCGTCCCCCTCGGTGGAACCATTCCCCTCCCAGGAGCCACCCACTTCAGAGGAACCATCAGCTTCAGAAGAGCCATACACACCTTCAACCCTGGTGCCCAGCTGGACTGAGCTTCCAGGCTCTGGGGAAGAATCTGGCGCCCCTGAAGTCAGTGGTGACTTCACAGGCAGTGGAAATGCTTCAGGACACCTTGACTTCAGTGGGCAGCTGTCAGGGGACAGGGCAAGTGGACTGCCCTCTGGAGACCTTGACTCCAGTGGTCTTACTTCCACAGTGGGCTCAGGCCTGCCTGTGGAAAGTGGACTGGCCTCAGGGGATGGAGAGAGAATTGAATGGTCCAGCACACCTATGGTTGGTGAACTGCCCTCTGGAGGTGAGATCCTAGAGGGCTCTGCCTCTGGAGCTGGGGACCTCAGTGGACTTCCTTCTGGAGAAGTTCTAGAGACTTCTGCCTCTGGAGTAGGAGACCTCAGTGGACTTCCTTCTGGAGAAGTTCTAGAGACTTCTACCTCTGAAGTAGAAGACCTTAGCAGACTTCCTTCTGGAAGAGAAGGTCTAGAGATTTCTGCGTCTGGAGTAGGGGACCTTAGTGGACTTTCTTCTGCAGGAGAAGTTCTAGAGACTACTGCCTCTGGAGTAGAGGACATTAGTGGGCTTCCTTCTGGAGAAGTTCTAGAGACTTCTACCTCTGGAGTAGGAGACCTCAGTGGGCTTCCTTCTGGAGAAGTTCTAGAGACTTCTACCTCTGGAGTAGGAGACCTCAGTGGGCTTCCTTCTGGAGAAGTTCTAGAGACTTCTACCTCTGGAGTAGGAGACCTCAGTGGGCTTCCTTCTGGAGAAGTTCTAGAGACTTCTACCTCTGGAGTAGGAGACCTCAGTGGGCTTCCTTCTGGAGAAGTTCTAGAGACTTCTACCTCTGGAGTAGGAGACCTCAGTGGGCTTCCTTCTGGAGAAGTTCTAGAGACTTCTACCTCTGGAGTAGGAGACCTCAGTGGACTTCCTTCTGGAGGAGAAGTTCTAGAGACTTCTGCCTCTGGAGTAGAGGACATCAGTGGGCTTCCTTCTGGAGAAGCTGTAGAGACTTCTGCCTCTGGAGTAGAAGATGTCAGTGAACTTCCTTCAGGGGAAGGTCTAGAGACCTCTGCTTCTGGGGTAGAGGACCTCAGCAGGCTCCCTTCTGGAGAAGTTCTAGAGACTTCTGCCTCTGGAGTAGGGGACCTCAGTGGACTTCCTTCTGTAGGAGAAGTTCCAGAGACTTCTGTCTCTGGAGTTGGGGACCTCAGTGGACTTCCTTCTGGAGAAGAAGGTCTAGAGACCTCTGCTTTTGGAGTAGGGACTGACCTCAGTGGACTTCCTTCTGGAAGGGAGAGTCTAGAGACTTCAGCTTCTGGAGCTGAGGATCTCAGTGGGTTGCCTTCTGGAAAAGAAGACTTGGTGGGTTCAGCTTCTGGAGACTTGGACTTGGGTAAACTGCCTTCTGGAACTCTAGGAAGTGGGCAAGCTCCAGAAACAAGTGGACTTCCCTTTGGATTTAGTGGCGAGTATTCTGGGGTGGACCTTGGAAGTGGCCCATCCTCTGGCCTGCCTGACTTTAGTGGACTTCCATCTGGATTCCCAACTGTCTCCCTAGTGGATTCTACATTGGTAGAAGTGGTCACAGCCTCCACTGGGAGTGAACTGGAAGGGAGGGGAACCATTGGTGTCAGTGGTGCAGGAGAAGTATCTGGGCTGCCTTTCAGTGAGCTGGACATTAGTGGGGGAGCTAGTGGACTCCCTTCGGGAACTGAACTCAGTGGCCAAGCATCTGGGTCTCCTGACATCAGTGGGGAAACATCTGGACTCTTTGGTGTCAGTGGACAGCCCTCAGGGTTTCCTGACATCAGTGGGGGAACATCTGGGGTTTTTGAGGTTAGTGGGCAGCCATCAGGGTTTCCTGACACCAGTGGGGAAACATCTGGAGTGACTGAGCTTAGCGGGGTGTCCTCTGGACAACCAGGTGTTAGTGGAGAAGCATCTGGAATCCTTTATGGCACTGGTCAACCATTTGGCATAACCGACCTGAGTGGAGAAACATCCGGGGTCCCTGATCTCAGCGGGCAGCCTTCAGGGTTGCCAGAGCTCAGTGGGGCAACGTCAGGAATCCCTGGACTGGTTTCTGGTGCCACGAGTGGCAGCGGTGAATCTTCTGGCATTACATTTGTGGACACCAGTTTGGTCGAAGTGACCCCTACAACGTTTAAAGAAGAAGAAGGTTTGGGGTCTGTGGACCTCAGTGGACTCCCTTCTGGAGAGGAAGATCTGTCAGGCAAATCTGGGATAGTGGATGTCAGTGGACAGTTTTCTGGAACTGTCGATTCCAGTAGGTTTACATCCCAGACTCCAGAATTCAGTGGCCTACCAAGTGGCATAGCTGAGGTCAGTGGAGAACCCTCTGGAGCTGAGAGTGGGAGCAGCCTACCCTCGGGAGCATATTCTGGCAGTGGACTTCCATCTGGTTTCCCCACTGTCTCTCTTATAGACAGAACTTCGGTGGAATCTGTAACCCAATCTCCAACAGCCCAAGAAGCAGGAGAAGGGCCTTCTGGCATTATAGAACTCAGTGGTGCCCATTCTGGAGCACCGGACCTGTCTGGGGACCATTCTGGATTTCTGGACCTAAGTGGGCTGCAGTCTGGGCTGGTAGAGCCCAGTGGAGAGCCACCAAGTACTCTGTATTTTAGTGGGGATTTTGCCAGCACCACTGATATAAGCGGAGAACCCTCTGTAGCCATGAGCACCAGTGGAGAGGCTTCGGGACTTCCAGAAGTTACTTTAATCACTTCTGAGTTTGTGGAGGGTGTTACTGAACCAACAGTTTCTCAGGAACTTGGACAGGGGCCCCCTGTGACACACACACCCCAGCTTTTTGAGTCCAGTGGAGAAGCCTCTGCAGCTGGGGACATTAGTGGAGTTACCCTGGTGCTCTCTGGATCTGGAGTAGAAGTGTCATCTGTCCCAGAATCTAGCAGTGAGACGTCCGCCTATCCTGAGGCTGGGGTCGAGGCATCTACTGCCCATGAGGCCAGCGGAGAAGCTTCTGGGTTCCCTGATCTGAGTGAAACCACCTCTGCATTCCATGAAGCTGACCTCGAGAGATCCTCTGGCCTAGAAGTGAGCGGCAGCACTTTGACTTTTCAAGAAGGCAAGGGGTCAACTGCCCCAGAAGTGAGCGGCGAATCCACCACCACTGATGACGTGGGGACGGAGGCATCAGTCTTGCCTTCGGCCACTCCCATGGCTTCTGGAGACAGGACTGAAACCAGCGGAGACCTGTCTGATCACACCTCGGGGCTGGGTATTGTCATCAGCACCAGCCCCCCAGAGTCTGAGTGGACCCAGCATACCCAGCGCCCTGCAGAGGCACATCTAGAAATTGAGTCCTCAAGCCTCCTATACTCAGGAGAAGAGACTCAAACAGCCAAAACAGCCACCTCCCCAACAGATGCTTCCATCCCAGCTTCTCCAGAATGGACAGGTGAATCAGAGTCAACTGTTGCAGGTATAGTTGGGATTTTTTTCCCCCCTTTAAATGTGCTTGGGTAGTTCAGACTGTAGGCTACTGTAGCATAGAAGGAGGCAGCGTAGCTTTAAGGTTCTAAGAACAGCTCCACCCTAGGTTAGCTTTGCAGCTTCAGGCAAGAGTCTTCACCTCTCTGAGCCTCATCTGTAACATAAGAGTAGGATAATACTATACCAGGGACGATTAAGCAGAGTATAAACATAGATAAAGTGAGCACTTAGCATCACACTGTGCGCACTCGTGAAGATTAGTGATGTTATCGTTACAGCAGTGTTACAATCCATGAGTTTTCACATTGAATTCAACTATCTGTACTTGGCACAGGGAGAGAAGGATGACTGTTTAGATAATGCTAGAGGCCGGGCACGGTGGCTCATGCCTGTAATCCCAGAACTTTGGGAGGCCAAGGTGGGTGGATCGCGAGGTCAAGAGATCGAGACCATCCTAATCAACATGGTGAAACCCCATCTCTACTAAAAATACAAAAATTAGCTGGGCATGGTGGCACGTGCCTGTAATCCCAGCTACTCAGGAGGCTGAGGCAGGAGTATTGCCTGATCCCAGGAGGCGGAAGTTGCGGTGAGCTGAGATCGTGCCATTGCACTCCAGCCTGGGTAACAAGAGCAAAACTCCGTCTCAAAAAATAATAATAATAATAATAATAATAATGCTAGAAATTCTGCTCATGCACCCTACCCTGGAGTGAGTGTGAGATGAGAGAGTAAATCTGTAACTTCTGACCATCCATGAAGAGAAAAAAAGAGAGAGAGTAAATCTGATGGTTTATTTCTGACTACTTATTTTGCACAGTGTTGAAACCTACACACTTTGGCTGGGCGTGGTGGCTCACATCTGTAATCCCAGCACTTTGGGAGGCCAAGGCGGGTGGATCATGAAGTTGGGAGATCAAGACCATCCTGGCCAACATGGTGAAACCCTGTCTCTACCAAAATACAAAAAAATTAGCTGGACAGTAGCATGTCTGTAGCCCAGCTACTCAGGAGGCTGAGGCAGGGGAATCACTTGAACCCGGGAGTCGGAGGTTGCAGTGAGCTGAGATCCATGCCACTGCACTCCAGCCTGGTGACAGAACAAGACTCCATCTCAAAAACAAAACAACAAAAACCTGCACAACTGAAGAAACTAGGAAGTGACATTTTGGCTATCTGGCTTTAGATTCTGCATCCCCATCCCCATCCCTGTACAAAGGGGTTCCTGTACCATCATGCTTATCTCACTATCACATAACCCTAAGCACTGGGCAGTGGGTATTAGTAGCTGATTTTCCTTTGTTTTTTGATCTGGGATCCTTTGTGCCTTCCTTTGTGCTGAGAGAGCTTTCACAGCTAGAGAGCTCCCCCTGATGCTGTGGGTCAGGTGCCCAGGCGGGACAGAGGCCCGAGAAAAGTGCTGATCCAAAGCCAGCCTCATGGACTTCAGGGACCTCATGCCCCAACTTTGAGGTCTTGGAGGCCATGGTAGCCAGGTGACTGTGTTCTTGATGCTCAACCTCTCCCCTGGGGATTGCAGCCCCTGCCAGGTCCTGTGCGGAGGAGCCCTGTGGTGCTGGGACCTGCAAGGAGACAGAGGGACAGGTCATATGCCTGTGCCCCCCTGGCTACACTGGCGAGCACTGCAACATAGGTAAGGCTCTCACTGGCTGTGAGGAGTTAGGGCGGAGGTGTTGGACAGATTCCTTCCTGCCCCAAAGGGCCCCCAGGTGGGAGGAAGTAACAAGGTCCACAGAGGCTCAGGCTTCTCAGGCTGGGAAGGAGCTGCACGATGACATGTCAGGGGCAGAAGCCACAGGACAGACATGGCTCATCTTTCTTGAATGCTTAGGTTTAGGAGAAAAGAGTCAATTAATTAAGCTGGTAATTATTTTTATATCAAGCCAATGACTATTGTATGAGTAGAATTCAAGTGTGCTTGAATTTTGGAGATAAAACTTGAGACTTCAAAGACATATTGAGCATGGGGGAGTATTAAATATAGCAGGTCACACCTCACCGCTCCTGGCTAGGAGTCTCTAAGTGCGGCTGTCTTGTGTCATGCAGAGTGAACCCCACCAAGTTGCTTCCACGTTTGGGTGTGGGTGGGATTTGGGTCCCCTTCTTGCTCTGAAAGAAATGACACAGACAGCGTTAGTCACCCATAACAGGGATCCATGACTGCAGGGCAGCTGTGACCCAGCAGTGCGCCTGCCCAGGCACCCACCATGAGCCTATTTGTCTTTGGCCATGGGTGAAGCATGTGAGATGGGTTGAGAGCCTGGGGACCATTTGATCTGAGGTGGACCTTGGAAGGAAATGGTTAGAATCTACCTGTTGTTCCAAAGACACACGGGAGGCCTGTGGCCATAGGATATCTCATCTCATTAACATCACCGCCCTGGAGGAAAGAAATGCCCAGTGACCACCAAGCTCGTGTTCTTTAGTTAGTTCTCCCACTGCCCCAGTGCCCGTATCCCTCGCCTCCCTCCTAAGTCAAGAATCATAGACCTAGGTTCTTTCATAAAAGGGGTCACTCCTAGGACATGTTCAAAAATGAAAAAATGTATCCTGGAGAAAGAACAACCGCTTCCAGGTAAACCACGCTGAGCAATTATCCTTCAATAGCCTTTACATCAAAGTCAGAGAAGAATTCTGTTTATATATGTTAATATATATGCAAATTAATGCACGATTATATGTTATTATATATCATATAATATAAACATGCTTTAAACTTGGTACTTATGCAGTAACTATATATGTATGTATATAAACAGACATTTGGCTAAATATTCATTCACTCTTTCCCCAGCATGTAGGCTCCAAGGACAAACAGGGTGGGATATCCTGGAAACGTCCTGGGCTTACTGCAAAAGGGGACAGCATTTCCACTGGGCCATAGTGATCCAAGGGTCAGTAGCTGCACCCCACCATCACTCACTCCTGAAGGGTGACTCCACTCTTAGCAAATCCTTCTCAATCTGGTACTTGAGGCAAAAATCTGATACCAATTGGCCGGGTGCGGTGGCTCAAGCCTGTAATCCCAGCACTTTGGGAGGCCAAGGCTGGTGGATCACGAGGTGAAGAGATCAAGACCATCCTGGTCAACATGGTGAAACCCCGTCTCTACTAAAAATACAAAAAATTAGCTGGGCATGGTGGCGCGTGCCTGTAATCCCAGCTACTCGGGAGGCTGAGGCAGGAGAATTGCCTGAACCCAGGAGGCAGAGGTTGCGGTGAGCCGAGATCGCACCATTGCACTCCAGCCTGGGTAACAAGAGCGAAACTCCATCTCCAAAAAAAGAAAAAAATAAATAAAAAATCTGATACTAGCATCAGAAGTCAAAGCAAGGCTCATGTTCTTGGCAGCCCTGAAATTAGAAGTAAGTGGCAGTGGGCTCTAACCATTCTGCTGTAAGGACAGCCTTTCTGTGATCGTGTATATTTCCAAAGGGCTTTTGTTCCCACGATTTCTCCCCAGACGGCTCTGTAATCAGTTTGGTAACTATCTCCATTTCAGACTGGAACACGGAGGAGTTAAGTAATTTGCCTAACTCTGAGTAAGTGGATCAAATCAAGAATAAGGTCTTAATTCACTTGTTTGACACACTCGGGTAAATAAGAAACTCCCTCTTGAACATAACAACCAGTTGCTGGTCTCAAAAAACTGAAGCTGGACTGCAGGGGAGCCAGAGTGGAGAGGAGCTGAGGAAGCCAGGGTGGTCAGATTCAAGACTTACAGCCCAGCCTTCATTTCCCTCATTTATAAACCGGGATCAGTGGTCGTGGTTCTCAGCTTTGAAAAATTACGATGCCTGAGATCGACACCCACAGATGGCGATTGAAGTGGTTCTGTGGCCTTGGCATTGGGGTTTTGCAAACTCCCAGGTGACTCCCATGTGCAGCTAGGGCTGAGAATCGCTGCTGTGAGGGTTGAGATCACCCATGTACAGCATCTGGTTAGAAGAGACATTTAATAAAAATTGCTTCCCTTTCCCCATCTATCACTCTACTGGCTGAGAGAAGTTTTAGCATCTCCAAAGAGTGAGTGGTAGGGATCAGCCCAGCACAAAACCTGGGTCTCTTTTCCCATGATCGTACCCTGGAGTCCCAGGTCACTCCTGTTCAATTTAGCTTGAGGTTCAAGTGCTTCCAAAATGACTGCAGATAGTGGCCAGTCTCCAGGGCTGACCCACCATTGTCTTACACCAGAACCAAGAACCACAGGTTGTTAAAAAGACCATGGATCAGTATTCTCAAGGGCCACAGGGAACAAAATGCAGCATGGTTCCCACAGTAATATTTGAATCCTCAGGAAAAACTTCCACCTGGTAAAGGGGGTCAGAAGCTGTATTTGGTCCTTAAAAAAAAAAAAAAAAAAAGGAGAATTACTGTCATCTTGTGTAGTCAGTCTTCAATAAATAAGTTCTTGATAAGTTATTATAAGTTATCAATAACTTATCAGTTATCAATCAGTTAACTTACTTCAAAATTAAGATCTACGTTGAATGTTGTGGCTCACACTTGTAATCTCAGCACCTTGGAAGGCTGAAGTGGGAGGATCACTTGAGCTCAGGAGTTCAAGACCAGCCTGGGCAACATAGTGAAACCCCATCTCTGGTAAAAACAAAAAGTCAAGATATGTTTAATGGATACTCAGATTCTTTAGCAATTAAAAGCAGGTGACAATGGGACCTACCCATTCTGCTGTAGGGACAGCCTTTCTGTGATCCTGTACTGACCCACTTCAAAAGCAGCAGCGTCTTTTCCCACTGCCGTTGCTGACAGCACCCGTGGGAATTAGGCTTCAGACTCTGAGGTTTCTATCCTTGCTGCAGCTTAGAATCCCCTGGGGTGCTTTCAAAAAGCATCATGCCTGGGCCCCACTCTGAGACAGTCTGATCCAGTTGGTCTAAATAACTTCAGCATTGGTGTTTTTTTTAATCTTTAAAAAAGAATATTTTAAAAACTACTCCAGTAATTCTAATGTGCCAGCCAAGGTTGAAAAATACCATTCTAATCAGATCTCACATCCAATTTGCAGTCATCACTTGTGCTATCTGGACTTCTCTTATCCCCTCTGTTAGGCAGGCATGACCTTAAACTTAATCAGTCTCCTTCCTATCTTACTGCTGTTTTTCACTTTCCGGGTTTGAAGCTCTGATCTATGACCTTACACTCTCTCTTTCTCTAGGAGAGATGTTTGAATGTCAGCAAAACCTCTATCCCTAGGAAAGAAATGTTTTCAAAGCAAATGAAAATGCAGAGTTGCAAGTGAAAATACAAAGTATACCTTCTTGATTTTTTTTTTTTTTTTTGAGACGGAGTTTCACTCTTGTTACCCAGGCTGGAGTGCAATGGCGCGATCTCAGCTCACCGCAACCTCCGCCTCCTGGGTTCAGGCAATTCTCCTGCTTCAGCCTCCTGAGTAGCTGGGATTACAGGCACGCGCCACCATGCCCAGCTAATTTTTGTATTTTTAGTAGAGACGGGGTTTCACCATGTTGCCCAGGATGGTCTCGATATCTTGACCTCGTGATCCACCCGCCTCGACCTCCCAAAGTGCTGGGATTACAGGCTTGAGCCACTGCACCTGGCTTACCTTCTTGATTTAACCAAAAAGTTTCTGGGTAGATTTTAACAGGCAACTAATTGATTTAAGAAACAGGATATTTTGGTGCACACCTATAATCCCAGAACTCTGGGAGGCCAAGGCAGGAGGATCACTTGAGCCCAGGAGTTCAAGACCAGGCTGGGCAACACAGTGGGATCCCATGGCTACAAAATTTTTTTTTAAAAGTTAGCTGGCCATGGTGGTGAATGCCTGTAGACCCAGCTACTTGGGAAGCTAAGGTGGGAGGATCACTTGAACTCAGGAAGTCAAGACTGCAGTCAGCTATGGTTGTGCCACTGTACTCCACCAGCCTGGGTGACAGAGTGAGACCCTATCTCAAAAAAAGAAGAAGAAGCAAGATATTAAAGCTACATTCAAGATCAACCTTTAAAATACAAAAGATTTGAAATGGTACAAATAATAACAGCATACTTTTTAATTCAATTATTTTATCTTAAAAGCAAATTAGGGCTGGTAAATACGCTTTTATAATCCTTCTCTCGTTTGTATAACAGGCTGAACCAGAAAGTCAGTGTATCTACTCAGGTCTGTTCAGGTTGTTTGATCCCAGATCTTTGCAGCATGCAGAGCATCCACTGAGTTGAGAAATTTTCTCTGTATTTCTTGAGAGGTTTCCCCCATCCTTGCCCAGGAAAGTTATGTCCAGAGTCACCACGTACAGCTGCACAAGTGAGCACTGGACAACTTGAGTTCTGTTAATATTGTAGTCTTTATGAGTGGCAACCCTTTTAGTCAAGTATCAGTTGAGTAAAAGCACCTGCGTACCTCTTCATTCAGCATTTTTTAATGAGCAAATAAGCTGTCACTCACTCGGAGGTCCTGGGCTCTGACCTAGGCAAAAGTTGGACAAGATCTATTCAAGGAAGAGGCCTGAGGTCTCCAATTCAGACAACCACGTGATGATTTGCAAGTATCTCTACTCCCCTAGCCTTTACCAGGGGCTCGCAGTTATTTTCCCTCCCAAGTTAGAGATATTACTGAAGGGCCTTGTTCAGGAACAAACCAGCCCTTTTGGTTATAGTAGCAGGAAGAGGACCCTGAGAGTCCTGATGCTCCCCAGAGTCTCTGCTCAGTGATGATGGGCGAGCCCTCGGTGGCTGTAGCAGCAATGGTGAGGAGGTGCTGGGAGTCCAGGACTCCAGTGTCTCTCCCCCTCCACGTGGGACAGAGGCCCAACTTCCAGTCTCATTTCCTGACTCCTCCATCTCTGCCATTCTGTCTCCCCAACACCCAGGTTGGGCAATCCAATTCACTTGTTTTCTTTTTGTTCTATATTTCTTTTTACTGTTTCTTTTTTACATCCCAAACATGTTAAGGAATTCATGTGTTTTCTCAGCTATGAATGGTATAGTGATGTCTTGCCACCTGGCCATTGGAAGGATAACGTGTATGAGTCAGCACTTGACTCACAGGAGGGTCTTGACAGTTATTGGTTTCCTCCCTTTCCTCTCTTTCTCTATGAAGCCTGCCCATTGCCCAAAGCCCTTCCCTCCCCTAACTGGCAAGCTCCTTATCCGGATCCCTCACTTTGCGTTCACAGCAGGGCCCAGCCCAACACTTCTATCAGTTCCAGAAGCCACAAGTTGTCCTAATTGCCCTTCTCAGAAAGAGGTGGGACATGCAGGGCCAGAATGGCTCTTCCAGCCAGAGGAAGAGGAGATGAGGCACCATAGGCCAAAAGAGCTAATAAGAAAGCCCCACATGGACACCTGGCCTTCTGCCCACTGCTGAAGATGCTGACTCAGCCTCTCCAAACTGCCCCGACGGCAACCACAGGTTTTCTGGTTTTCAGGATTGTGGCCCTTCTTTCCCTCCTGATCTGTAAATCCAGGGCCCTGAAAAAAAAAGCTTCTGAGCCCTGGAATTGGTTCCTTCAGTTCCCAAAATCTTCTCAAATTTTGTGCCCTGGCCAAACACAGAAAGAAAGCAACTCTGCCCCTCACTCCTGCTGCGGCAGCCTGGGAGCAGGTTTTGTGAGATCAGTCTCTGGGACAACTGGATGCCCCCCAGCCTGACCTCCACTGGGGCCTCTTTCCTTTCCCGCCCTTTCTCACATGGGCAGCCAGAGGCCCCAGGGTTGATGTTTAGCTCTTCTCCCCAGAGGTCACTCCTGTTCCCTGCTCTGTACAACTGCTTTAGCACCTACGTTTGCTTAATTTCCCTTGCCCAGTGCTTCCCATCTCCCATAATGACGCTAATGGACAAAAGAGAACCTGCAGGAGAGCTGCCCCCAGCTTCCGCCCCGCCGACTGGCCTGACCTATTGCTGCTACTGCTGCTGCTGGGAATCCTGGGGCATGCTGGGAGTCAGTCCAAGTGCATGATGGGATTACAGTCTGTTCCTCCATGCATTTTGGGTTTGCTTGGAACAGTTCCAACTTGGAACTGTTGGTTTTAGTCCATGGTGTGCACTCCCCGAGATGAAGTTAAAGAACATCGTTGCCCGACAACTGGAGAGCAGGTGCCTCACGGGTTGAGCAAGATGCCTGAAAGCTGGGGATTTTCGGGCCACCTGTTGTTGCACAAATCCAGCTGTGGCCTAGAAGATGTCTGCTATGTACCCTATGCACTGGCGCGTAAGGACTCAGTGCCTTTACCATCTCATCAGAGGGTTGGCTTAAAGGTCTGGTCTGCTCTTAGAGGAGGCAAGAACTAAGTACTGGCACATGTGTAGGACTCTGAGATCCTGTTCCCACCACAGGGCTTCGCTGCCCTGCAGAGCCCACCTGCGGACACATCGTTGGATCTGGAAGGTTGTGTGGACAAGGCTGCACATACTGAGGCTTAGTATCTTCAAACCACATGTCATGGTGCCCCATAGTGAATGGAACCCACTCACCACAGAATTTTACCGATCTCCTGGCAAGAGGAGCTTCATAATCCATTTTTCATGTTCCCAGGGGAAGAAATCAAGTGGGGAGAAAAAAACAGCAGAAACATTCGAAGTACAAATACAAAGAAAGCAGAAGAGATCCCCCAGGACTTCTGGTTTCTCAGCAAGATGCAGAAAAATCAGATGGGTAGATTCAGTTCTCACCTTGGCTAATTCGTGAAAATTTGAGGCAATGGCCAATGACTTACCAATTCAAGTACCACAAAGAAGTTTGATCAGAAAGGATATCTCAGGACCAGAAGAACAGAAGAGGAGCCTATCTGAAAAGAGGCAGAGGATGGGGATCTGTATCCCAGGCTTGTGCCAGTGCTGTTGTGTGGCCACTTGCTACACAACACTTGTAGCAAGTCTGTAGCTCCAAACACTTGTCTCCCACTGGCCAGGATGGAATCCCTCTAGAAATTGGGTGTCCCTGGAGATAGCCACCTTCTGGGGCCTTAAGCTGAAAGGAGATTATCTGTGGAAATGTTGGACATGGTTTCCATCCCTCTCCCGAGAGAAAGATGCAGTCTTCATTTTTACAAAATAATCTAAAATCTTATTTACTGAAGACACAGAAGGGGTCTGCAGCCCAAGAAGTCAATGGGTCTCATGCAGACATCCCATGCTGCCATTTTCATATGGATCTACACTCTTCAGACCACTTCGAGGTCATTCATTCTAGCCCCACACAGCCTTGCCCTCTTTCCCTGGGTCATAACTACAAAGGAAGCCAGAAAAAGAAAGACCGTTAACCAAACTTCAAGAACTTGACTTCAGTTTTCTTCAATTCAGAATCCATGGTTTCTTGAAATATTCAAAGAAGAGGCATCTCGGGAAAACACTATGCTCTCTGTCACAAAAGGCATTTGGCTTTAGACATATTAGGTCTCTCCAACCCACGGGGGAATCTGGCTCCGATGCTCCAAGTTTACCAATCAAGAATCACACACGCCCAAGGAAACCCTTGTCTGGATCTTTGCTTCAGCACTCCGAGATGGTGGCAGCAGCAGCAGCAGCAACAGTTCTTAGGAAAACCAGCCAGTTCCCTCCCAGGGCTCTGCAGAGCAGCAGGACTGGCCACTCAGAAGGAGGCCACAGGGCTTGTGAGGCTGGAGTCACCGGCAGGAGTCCTAATGTGGCCCTTGGTTTCTTGCAGACATTGATGAGTGCCTCCCAAGCCCTTGTCTGAATGGAGCCACCTGCCTGGATGCCATCGACTCTTTCACATGCTTATGCCTTCCCAGCTACGGAGGGGACCTGTGTGAGATCGGTACGGCCGTCTCGGCTTCAGCTAATGTTACTAACCCCTGCACCACCCCCCACTCCTCCCTCACCTTTCCCTCCTAACCACAGGCTCCAGGCCCTGGCTGGGGCCCCTGAGGTCCATCTGGACAGCCATTTCAGGGGCCACAACTGAAAAGTCTGCCCCAGTGATTCCCATTCTTCTTGCTCTTCTCCTTGAAAACCCTTTTCTGGAGGACTGGCTCATCTGACCTTCTCCAGGGCTTCCAGACCTGCTGACACCACCACCGAGGTTGGTGTACGGTTCAGACTAAGAGGACAGGGCCGATTTGGAGCACTTGTCTGGAAGGAAGCTATGGGGTGGGAGTCATTGGTTTTCATTCCAGATGATAGCCACAGATCTTCTCTGTGTGGTCATGGGCATGGGACCTTCGTGGTTCCTCCGTGGCCCTGGGAGCCACTGTGCCACACTGGCCAAGCTGCCTTTCTCTTCTCCTGGGGCGAGAGCTGTGGTTGGTCTGCCCAAGATATCCTGTGTCACCAGCATGCTCAAGTCATGCATGAGCAAGGACTGCTGCCTGTCACCTTCCTCTCATCACTCTCATGACAGCTGCCATGGCAATGCCATGCCAGCCTATGCTTCTTTTCTCCCTCCCTTGTGCAAGGCGAAGAGAACAGAACTGTTACAAGGGGAAGGAGTTGAGTTTCCTGTCTTGAGCCTTGCCGATCTCTCCATTTCTGCACCTAGGCAGGGCCACCAGTTCTGCCAAAAGGAGCTGTGCACCAGGAACCCTCCCAGGGCCGGACTGAAGCCTTGGCTATCTCACCTTTGGTGCTTCCTACTCTCCCCACCAGCCTCCTGGTTCTCGGGAGTTTCTCAACTCAGAAAAGGGGAGACGGGACCTTTGGATGTCACAATGGCGCAGACAGAACTGGAAGTGTGCAGGAGCTTAAAACCCTTTTCAATGAACTCTCAAGTTGGATATCCAGAAACTTCCAGAAAGCAGCTGAGACTCCTGGAAGTCTCCCTTTGGTCCTAAGCAGCGTGGGGAGGTAGTTGTGGGTTGTATATTCCTTTGAGGCACTGCCAAGGTTATAGACTGGCAGAGGAGCTTCTGGAAAAAAAAAAAAAAAGCCTGGACATTACTACTCCTTTGCAGCCTCCCACCTTCCATCCTCACCCAACACCCCAAAAAATTTGTATATGGGGTCTTGGCTGGGGTGGAAGCAGAGACTACAAGGGTTTTCTCCCCAGGATGCTAAAACATTTGCCACAGGGTAAGAGAGTCTTGGGCTTCCATGCCGTCAACAGCTGTTTGCTTCCAGACTGGAAGAGTGGGAGCTGCTGGAAAGGAGGCAGGGCCCTCCTAGGGCTCTGTATGCTGATGGAGCAGAGAGATGGTGCCAGAGCCACCCAGCTCAGCCCTGGGCCTGGGTGCCAGCTAAGCAGGGCTGCATCTCCTCTCCCATTCCAATCCTGAGTCCTCTGCACTCCACGGTGCTTCCTGCCTTGGCTCTGTCCTGCTGCCTCTTCCAGCCTCCCTGGAATTGTTTCTGTTTCCTAAGAACTTCCAGCCTGCACAGCTCTGCCCTCCCATGCCCACCTCCCAGAGAAGCTGCACTCTCCAGCTCTGCCTGCCCAGCTCAGCACTCAGCCACCGAAGGGGCCAAAAACTGACCCCCCAAGTCAACCCTAAGATGTATCTCTGGGCTCTTCAGAGCGCTGAGCTACCTCTGAGGTCTCTCCCCTCTTTCCAGACTGTGGCCTCACCACCTGGGGAAGGTATTCGTAGCAGAGGGACCAGAGGCCTTTTCCGCAGTGCCTCCTACAGCTCTGCTCTCTCTCCTCCAGCTGCTGACCTCCCCCTCTGCTCTCCCTCCACTGTCCCCAACTGTCTCTCCTCCACTTGGCCAAGCATCTGGCCCTTCAGCCTAAGACTCCTTCCCCTCAGGTACTGGTCCTTCCATTCTGGACAGCCAGACTGTGGTGGCATCCAATCGGGGAGGCCATCATGTAGCTTGAGGGGTTTGTGGCCCTCCACCTGGGAGGCCCCAGGGGAAGAAGGGAGAGGGGGGCTTGGAATTCACTCTGTCCCCGCTGTGCTGGCAGATGTTTAACAACCAGTTCTCACAGGGGAAAAGGGAGCCCTGGTCATAGCATCTGCTAATTCCTGAGGTGTAAATGCTTCCCCCAGGGCCAGTTTAATGCCATCAGCACGATGTCACTGACGGTGCAGTTGGGAGGAGACTGAGAATGAGCACTCTCAAAGCTGAGTGAGCTGGCTCAGCACAGTTCTCCCTGTCCCCCAGCCTGTCCAAGAACTCCAAGCCAGCCCCTTCTCCAGACTGAGAATCCATTACAAATTCAGGTTTATAAGGAGAGACGCTCCTCCCCTCTTCCCATTCACCCCAAAATAAAATAAAAAGCCAGGGACCCTGGATCCCAGACCCCCAGTGGGTTATCTGAACCCCCAAGAGACAGGCACAGTGTGCTCAACTGAAGCCATCTCTGATAGATGGCCTTAGAGCACTGAGTCTTCTCTGGACCATAAGCTGACTTATTTCTGCTGCTCTGTCCCTACCCAAGGTTCTGCAGGAAGGAAGCTGCCAGCTCTGCTCCTTGCCCCAGCACTGCCAGCTCCCACGACCCCCCCTCATTTTCCACAGCTCCTCTCCCCATCCCCCTCTCCCTGGAGCCCCTCAGAAACTCAGAACCATGTTTTGCCTTAAATCTCAAGACTTCTCACCTTCCCACCTCTTTTTACCTGGCCTGCTGACTTCTGCCAGCCCACCAGAGCAGGCATCCTTGGAGAGGGCGAGGGGGGAGGGCGTAGCATCAGGGAAGGAAAGGGCCTCTGGCATTTTCCAAAGTGGAAGCATATGCAGAGGCTCCCAGGAGCCAGACCGGTTCCCAACTGGAAGCCCATCCAGCTGGGCCTCTCCCTTCCCTTGAGGGCACAGCATTGAAGGTGGGGTGAATGCAGGAACCCATGCCATAAGACTGGCAGCATTCGCCATCCCCTGGTGGCCTCTGCCCCTGCCTTCAAGCCCCTGACCTGTGTTGCAGACCAGGAGGTATGTGAGGAGGGCTGGACCAAGTACCAGAGCCACTGTTACCGCCACTTCCCGGACCGCGAGACCTGGGTGGATGCGGAGCGCCGGTGTCGGGAGCAGCAGTCACACCTGAGCAGCATCGTCACCCCCGAGGAGCAGGACTTTGTCAACAGTGAGTGCAACGGGGCCTCTGGGGCCCAAGAGAAGAGTGGCGGTGCAGGCAAATGGCCTCACCTTTCAGAAGGCAGCAGACTTGGGCCTAGTGAGACTGCAGGACAGGAACCTGGGGGAGGGGGACAGTGTTCCCGCAGTCTGAGCTCCCCGAGAGAAGACAGCAGTCTTTGGGACCAGCAGATTTGGCTACAACCAAGGCAGCCCACTGCCAGCCAGAGTCAGCCCAAGACTAAGCTGTGGCTGTCACCTGTTCATGCCAGCTTGGAGAGGTGGTGCAAAGTGCACTCTAAACACGCCCATGCTGAGACCCTTGTGAGGACCTGAGAAGCAGGTGGCTTGCTCCTAGGAGCCCACCCACCTCCTTCCCTCCTCCATCCCCTCTGCCTCCATGAGCTCAAGTTTCTAAGACACCCTCGGGATGTCCAGCATGAGGCCTGACACCCTCATCCTTTCCCCAGACAATGCTCAAGACTACCAGTGGATCGGCCTGAATGACAGGACCATTGAAGGGGACTTCCGCTGGTCAGATGGACACCCCATGGTGAGTTCTGCTACAGGCCCAGCTGATGGCCCAGAGGAGAGGCAGTGGGATAAAGACTGCTGGAGAGAGAGGCGTTCAAACCCCATGCAGATACTCACTGAGCAGCTGTGGGACCAGGAGCCCTGGGGGCAGGGATTGTGTCTCCATCTCTGCCTTTGGAGCCCAGCCTGGCGCTGGACAGATCAAGCTAATGATGGCATGAGGCAAGGGATGGAGCGAGGAAGGAGACCAAGCAGTAAAAGCCACCACCATGGAAGCTTTAGAGAGGGTTCTTGCCTACATTGGACCCAAGTCTATTCAAGAAGACAGACAGAAAGCAGCATAGATGCCAGCTGTGCTTCTCTCCGTCCTGAAGCAAGGCTGGAAGGATAAGCTTTGGGAGGGCTTAAGAGCCGCGTTTCTGCCACCCATCCCTACCCAAGCAAGGCAGCCTTTTGTGGTCAGCCCTGGTTGGCCCTTCTGGATATGAGGAGAGGAATCAGCTTGTTAACAGGGCCTGTGAGTCTTGGGGGTCCTGAACTCCTGAGAAGGACCCAAGCCAGGCTGTGTGACCAATTCCCTAGAGGACCCCGGGTTCCATAGCCCCTAGAACAGCCCTGAGCAGACTCCTAGCAGCCTCTGTGTTGCTATCAGATGAGCCTGAAGTTGGGCTAAAAGAGAAAGGAGGCAACAAAGAGACTCCATGGGGAGGACAGTGGGGGCAGGCCACCCCGCACTGTGCTGCCCCCTCCTTACTCCTTCCCCACTCCCACCCACAGCAATTTGAGAACTGGCGCCCCAACCAGCCTGACAATTTCTTTGCCGCCGGAGAGGACTGTGTGGTGATGATCTGGCATGAGAAGGGCGAGTGGAATGATGTTCCCTGCAATTATCACCTGCCCTTCACGTGTAAAAAAGGCACAGGTAAGCTGGGGCTGGGAGGGGTCTGGGGAGGATAGGATCAAGACCTCCAGCTACAGGTGAGGCTCTTGCTCTGTGGTCTGGGGTGAGTTCCTTGTCTCCTGGCTCCTGGTGTCTCCTCACCTGTCCAAAAAGCAGACTGGAGCTGACCTGGCACCAGCATCCCAGGGCCAGTGGCAAGGGCAAGCTCTCTGCCAGGGACCATTTGCAGGGATAGTGAGCACATGAAGGTCACAGGTTAGAGGACAGAACCCTCACGCCACACTGCACACATTCCCTTGGATAGCAGCAGCAGAGTGACCCACAAGGGACCCCAGGTGGGGAGCCACCCTGTCTTTGGGGTTCCCAAGGCCATCAGTCACAGTCATAGTTGTCAGGCCTCAATCCCTTGGCTTTCAGCCTGTGGACATTGAGTGCTGGTAGGATATGTCCCACTGCCCTTGCTCATGACCTGTGTGAGAGGAGACCCCCGGGCCTCCTTTAGGTTTTGTTTTGCCCTGAACTGGATATTGTCATCAAGAAGCCCAAGTCTGCCACACCTTTCCTCCTCCCTTTCTTTCTTTTTGAGACAGAGTCTCACTCTGTCTCCAGGCTGGAGAGCAGTGACACAATCTTGGCTCACTTACAATCTCTGCCTCCCTAATTCAAGCAATTCTCCTGTCTCAGCCTCCCAGGTAGCTGGGATTACAGGTACGCACCACCATGCCCAGCTAATTTTTGTATTTTTAGTAGAGACGGGTTTTCACCATGTTGATCAGGCTGGGCTCCAACTCCTGACCTCATGATCCACCCGCCTCAGCCTCCCAAAGTGCTGGGATCACAGGCGTGAGCCACTGTGCCTGGCTCTTCCTCCCTTTCATCTTCTCTTCATTTCTTTAAGGACCACCCCTTTTGTATTCCCTTCCTGCTGTTCTAAGTTGTTGAGGAACCCAGATGTTAGAGCCAGCGGCTTCCAGATTCTTAGCACTGCAGGAAAACGCCCAGGGCTCAGTGTCAGGTGTTGAGGCTGTGTCCCTCACAGTGCCTCGGGTCACAGCCAGTGTAGGTCATCCCCAAAGACCCTATGAGACCCTTTATAAAGGATGTTTGCCCCTTAGTGGCCTGCGGAGAACCCCCTGCAGTGGAGCATGCCAGGACCTTCGGGCAGAAGAAGGACCGGTATGAGATCAATTCCCTGGTGCGGTACCAGTGCACGGAGGGGTTTGTCCAGCGCCACGTGCCCACTATCCGGTGCCAGCCCAGCGGGCACTGGGAGGAGCCTCGGATCACCTGCACAGACCGTGAGCATCACCCCTGCCACCCTCAGTGAGCACAGGGTTAGCTTCTGCCAGCACAGCCCTCCCCCCATCCGCTCTCCTGGGGACCCTGTACCATCTGCAGGATTGAGCAAGGGAGGGGAGGTCAGGGGGTTGCTCAGTCACAAATCACTGAAAAGTGCCCCTAGAAGGGCCACGTACTTGTCCCAGGAGGGGACTCACTTTCACTGAGAGAATGAAGGAGAAAAAGCCAGAAAGTCCAAGAAAAATCAAAACCAGGGAAGCTGATAAAACCTCAGGCACCTCACTGAGTCCCCGGTTTCCGCAAGAGAGAGCGGGTAAGCTGGGGAGAACTCAGGCTTGCCCCACTTTCTTTCCAGGTCCACTGACACGTTTCCATCTCCCTTTCGCCCTAGCCACCACCTACAAACGCAGACTACAGAAGCGAAGCTCACGGCACCCTCGGAGGAGCCGCTCCAGTGTGCCCCACTGAGAGGAGCTTCCAGGACGCACCCAGGACGCTGAGCCCAGGAGCCTGCCAGGCTGACGTGGACCCACCCAGATGGTGTCCTCTTCTTGTCGCTTTTTGTCATATAAGGAATCCCATTAAAGAAGGAAAAAATAAATCCCACATTGTGTATGCACCCACTCACCCCTCCAAATCACCAAAACCACATCTAATTTGTCCGCTGAATGCCAAAGCAAAGCCAACTTATTATAACTCGTGGACTAAATTTAGAGACATTTCTTCAATCTCCCATCGTGCCTTTTGAGGGACCAGTGCAGGGACAGGGGGAGAAGGGGAGGGGTTAAGTTAAATAAAGAAGATTATTTTTGTTTCCTGACTTTATCCAAGAGCAGTGCAATGGTTGGTTATTTCACCTCCAGGGAGAGCTAGGGAGGAGGGAGGAGGGCTCCGAAGGAGCTGGAAAGGGCAAAGGCCTGAGAGCATGAGGAACTCGGAACCGCAGCAGAATGTACTGGATGAGAAGCCAGGAGGGCTGCACCGTCTGTCTGAGGGAGAAGCCTTGGGGGAGAGGGGCGGGTTCCTGCCTCCTGCCAAGGGTGAGCTGGCAGGGGAGAGCCATCAGAGGGACCTTCCGCCGCATGGGGCTTGGGTTCCCTCCAAGGGTCCGTCTTCCAGTGTCCTCTCACCTGGGTCTGCCACCCTAGCAGCTGGCAATTTGGCAGGGCTGCTGAGGGCACTTCCTTCCCAGTGGGGGTGCCACCCAACCTTCTCCCCTCCCCGCCCCCTGCCCCCGGGACCGTGCAGGCACCAGGGTTCCGTGCACCTATTTATATTTTTGAAAACTGAAGATTATGATATTATAATAATAATAAAGACATTGGAAGAGACCTCTCTCTTTTCTTTTCCCTTTTTTAATTTAAGAAGGCAGTCATAACCTGGAATCTCCCAAAGGGGCTCTTAGGAATGGTGGCGGTGGAGGCATGTTTTGATCCAATGATCTCAAATTGGTGGGACTCTGCGACTCTGGTCTGTTCAGAGAGCCTGGGACAGTCACATCTGTTGTGCTTTATTCCTACTGGGCTGCCAATGTGTTTGGTGGATGATCTGCATGTGAGCACAGGTGATATGTCTGCATACGTGTGTGCACCTGGGTGTGCCTGTCACGTGTGGGATGTGTCAGTCAGAGGGTGCCATGTGGATTTGCAAGTGGGCACTGTCAAAGAACAACTTAAGCGAGACACCTGGTCACCTAGCGCTTTGGTTCTCTGTGACCACACTGCTCATGTGGGCTAGTAGACTGCGTCCAGGAACAGAGGCAAAAATCAGGATTTATAAGAGGGGAAGGAAAAAACGAGCTGCAGACTGTGTGGGAACCGTGAATCTCGCTTACACATTTTCAGGGTGAACTGCTTGCCAGCTACTAACAAAAAGGCCTGGGCATTCTGCCCCTAAGTACGCTGCAGAATAGCGATGAAAACAATTCCAACTGTTTACAGAGTCCCCCCGCAAACCTTGAGAGTTGAGGTGGCACGTGCGTCCCAGGCAGTGTCCTTCCCCCAGTGCCTCCCCCTCAGATGCCTCCCTCATCACAGTCACTGGACACACACCATGGAGTCTTTGTGAATGTGAGTGTGCGTTGCTTAGTGCATACCAGTGTGAGCTCCTGGTAACTTTTCAGGTGTGGGCGTGTGCACGGTTGTTTGTGGGTAGACATATGCTTGTACCTCTACCTCTAGAAAGAACAATGGGCCAATCCCAGCACTTCGGGAAGCTGAGGCAGGCGGATCACCTGAGGTCAGGAGTTCGAGACCAGCCTGACCAACATAGTGAAACCCTGTCTCTACTAAAAATACAAAAGTATCCACTTGTGGTGGCACATGCCTGTAATCCTAGCTACTCAGGAGGCTGAGGCAGGAGAATCACTTGAACCCAGGAGGTGGAGGTTGTGGTGAGCCGAGATCACGCTATTGCACTCCAGACTCAGAACAAGAGCGAAAGTCTGTCTCGAGAGAGAAAGAGAAGAACGAACAAACAGACAGTGGGCCAAAGTAAAGTGTACAGCACTGGTTACATAGTAAGGGCTCGATAATTACTTAACTGTTAATTAACTGATAGGTGGTGGTGCAATTGTGAGTGGTTTTCAAACTTGAGTGTGCATCGGAATCACCTAAGGAGCTTGGTGACCACAGAGTGCTGGTCGGCATCCCAGATTTTCTGACTCAGCAGGTCTCTGGCGGGGCCCAGGAATGCACTTCTAACAAGAGCCCAGCGATGCTGACGATGCTGACACCGCAGGCCACACTGTGAGAAGCACCGAGCTAAGGGAAGAACTGACTGAATAACCGGTTGGTGAGTGGCAGCGGCATTCCTATGCAAGGCAATGAGTCTGGTTTCCTGAGGCAGGTGTGGGAGTGGGTGGCAGAGGGTGAGGCGCACGGAGTATCCCCTAGATCTAGGCCTCTGAGGTCCTCTGGAGGCACGGCTTCCTCTGCCTTCTGAGAGGTGTCTCTAGTTCTTCTGCTGGGCCTCACAAGGACAGACAGGCTGCCAAGGGGTGGGGATGGTGGAGACACAAGCCAGGTCCTCTGCCACCAGCCTGGCACCCAGGACTGGGTGAACCACGAGGCAGGCAAGGCTAGGACCAGTCCACAGAGTTCCCTGTTCACCCCAGGGTGGGACCCCGATGACCTGTGAAGTCTGAGCTCGAACTGCCCCACCACACCCTTCAGGCCGAGGGCTGCACCCTGAGACCGAATGAGATGGAGACACAGAAAAGGGCTGGGGATGGCAGAAGGCTGTTGTAGCACCATTTATTGTCCCAAGAAAGTACACACACCCGAGGTCCCCTCCCCACACAGGAAAAAATGAGAAACAAACGAGAACAATACACTCTTTGGAACTAAGGTGGGGGGTGGGGAGGGGAATTTCTCCCTTCCCTCGGATTTCACCCAGAAGCCTAGAACTGGCTTCCGGCCCTGGCCCCCTCAGTGGGCAGACTGGGGTTACCAGCTTCACAGAGAAGTCAAAGGGGGCAGGAGAGGCCTAAAGCCCAGCTGTAGAGGTCCCCAAGGCCCTCTTCTTCCCCAGGCTGAGGGGCAGGGAGAGCTGTGTCCACCATGCCCTGACTTCCAGCAGCATTCTGGGCAAGCAACCACCTGCGCTGGGCACCAACCCCCTTAATGAAGGGAGACCAGCCTGGATGGCTGGGAACCCTCCAGAAGCCCAAGAAACTGCAAATGGCCCAGAGGAGCCGGCAGGAGGATTCCTGGAGTGGGGCATCCAGGAGCAAAGGGAGGTACTGGGTTCTGAGTGTTTTACAAAAAATAGTAAAAAAATGTTAAGAAAATTAAATTGAGAAGTATAAAAACAGTTAAAACAGCCCCAACCCACAAGGGAAAATGAACCACTAAATAAATACACAGCTGGTGTGGGAAAGCCGTATGGGAGGGCCCAGGTCCTAGTGCCGCCGGTAGCAGTAAACACCATACAGGCGGCTCTGTGGGTCAGGGAAGCCAAAGCTTCGGACCCCAGGCTCAGGGGGCCCGCAGTTGGGATGCGGGTGAACCACAGGGTAGCGGGCGCTGCCATCTGCCAGCCAGCCAGCATCACAGCGGTCCAGGCCCTGGAACCTCCAGGCAGCAAAGAGCTGTCCCACCTTGGCGATCGTGGCACCATCTTCCTGGCAGGCCTCTCTCGCCTCTGTCAGTGTCAGCTTCTCAGGATGCTCCAGGTAGTACACCCGCCCTGCAGGAGAGGGGGCGTGAGTGCCGGGCAGCGCAGCAGGCAGCCAGAAAGCACAGCGAGGCCTGCAGAGATGCCAGCCCCAAAGACCCGTCTGAGCCCAGAGAGCTACCATGCTGTAGGCATCTGCAGAGAACACCTCAGGGAACACCTCCTGGTCTTCACCCTCTCCCAGAGAGCCCCATCCCACCTGCCGTAGAACCGGGGACCCTCCAGTCATGTCTGCACTCCCCAGCTAGCCTTCCCCATTTGCACCCTGGGTGGGCTCCCCACCTGGGCTGGACCAGAGTCTCTCTCACATTCAAGCATTTACAGAGCTTCCCACACCATACCCACCAGGCAGGGGGCTGCACCCTTAGACTGAATGAGATGGAGACACAGGAAAGGGCTGGGGATGGTGGTACCCACTGTGTGCCAGACACTTTTCCAAGGCTTGGCATACGGCACTGAACCAGTTTCTGTTTCTACTTGCTCATCTTCCTACAAAATGAGCTACCTTGTGAGACAGGCTGTGTCTTATTTGTCTGTCATTCCTCAGAGCCTAGACTAGGCCCCAGCATAAGGTAGGCACTCAGTAAACATTTGATGAATGAAGAAACCAATGATCAGCATGAAGCAGCAGCAGCAAAGCACTCGAAACTCAACTGATGTGCTTCAAGGTTGGCTGGTGCTCTTGGCCCCCAGGTGGCAGTGCCAGCAGAGCAGGCAGAGGGGGCCAGAGCTCCCCAGAAGCTGCCCTCCCACAGGTCCCAGATGGGCACCAACCCTGAAGGCTTGGACGTGGCCATTCCACTCACCCTTGAGGGCAGTGGCGAAGCAGAACACATCATAGCGGTGCAGGCGGCGGTGGCGGGGGCCATAGCTTCGCACACCAGGTGCCAGGCCGGGGCCGCCGCAGGGCTGGCGGGGCAGCATGATGGGGTACCGCACCGTGGCGTCCTGCAGCCAGCCTGCGTTGCACCAGTCCAGGCCCTCCTCCCAGGCCCGGAAGAGCTGCTCAAAGGAGGCCACCACTGCACCCTGCTCCGCACAGACCTGCTGGCCCTCGTGGAAGTTGAGCTGGTAGCGCCCTTGGGGAGACTGGTAGGGAAAGACCACACCTGCAAGGGAGGAAAGAGGAGCTTAGCGGGTGGCCAGGGGCCTAGCAGCTGGATACCCCACTCTCCTCCCACCCTCACTGGGACACGTGCTCCCTGCAACACACATACACATACGCCGTCCCTCAGAAAAACTCAGCAAACCTCTGACCTCCCATCCATTGCCACCTCTCTCCTGAGACTCAGCTGGTACCCAGCAGTACTCAGAAAACATTCAGGAGTTAAGGTAATTAATTAGTCAACTAATGTCACCAATGATAGGATGGAAATGAAACCTATTTCACAGGGCTGTCCCAAGCTCCCAAGCCCCTAGTGAGGTTGTGCATCTTCTCCAGACAGGCCCAGGCTTTGGGCTGTAGGGCCAGGTTTGGCTCCCAGCTCTCCTCTCTTTAGCTGGGACCCAATCGTATATGGTATCATGAGTGTGGAAGTTTCCTAGGAAAATGCAAGAAACTTTCCACATGTGGCAGATAATTGTCAGGAGGAGAGGCCCTGGAGGCTGTGGGGAGAGGCTGGTGAAGGGTCCTTCCATAAGGGAGGCTCAAGGTCAGGGAGGTCCTGGGGCAGGAAGCTTCTTTCCTTGTGGCCAGGATCTGATTGGGGCCACAGGCTTCCCTCAAAAGGTATGTTCATGTTTGAAATTTTACTATAATAAAAAGTTTGGAAACTTTTGAGATTCAGTCTCTACCAAGTCAATGAAACCTGACAGAGTAGAGGTGATCCTAGGGGTCTGGGAAAGACTGATTGGCTGGTTTTGTTTACCCAGAGTCCTTGGAATCTCCTCCCGGTGCCAAGGACCTGAGAATAGCCTGAGTCCCAAACCTCTAATCTCACCAGACACCTGGAAGGCAGGCACCTGGGCAAAGCCACACTGGGCAGCAGGGAAGCCTATGGGCCCTGACCATCAGCTGGTAGCCTCCATGTGTTTGCAGGGGGACTGTTTCATGCCTGGTTCCAAATTCCTAGCCCTTGCAGCCCCGAGAATGGGGTGAGGGCTCCCTGTTTCTTTAGGCTGCCCCTGCAGACCCAAGACCAATGACTCTTGCAGGTTCTCCCCAACTCCACTGCCACCCCAACTTCAGGAAGGAGGAATGTGGCCCCTCTGAGCCACCATCTAAGCCATGTGGACACTGGTGGCAGAGAGAGAGAATGAATTTCGAGGATGTACATTTTATCCTCATTGCCACTGAGAGAGGGAAAGGAGGACTGACTGTGATTCCCCATTTTACACCTAAGAAGCCGAGAACTCCGAGGTGGGTGAGGCATTTGCCCAGACGTCACAGCTGGGACGGGCTGGTGCTAGAGTCAGATCACCTTCCTCTACCCCCAAACTGCCTCCCTAACATGTGGGAAAGATATGAGGACACACAGCCCCATCCTAGAGACAGAGAAGCCAAATACAGATTAAAGATCAAACAGGGACCCCACATACAAGACCAGCTTGAAGGGTATGGCAGGTTTGGCCAGCACTGAATTTGTTTTTTTTTTTTTTTAAAGGAGGTTTTTACATAAAAATCCGGAGATCTCACATAAAAATGTAAACTTATCTTGTCAAGCAAGAAAATCTGGCAGAGCAAGGTCTGCATTCTGGTGTGCCATCATCGGCTGGACCTGAGTAAGGCGGGGTTCCCGGGGGACAGGATGAGGACTCAGGAGTGTGCTCAGTCCCCACCACTCCCATCAGCTCACACTGGGCTGCCTCATTCGCTTGTGTTGCCTGCTGCCTTTGCTTAAATCTCAGCCCTGGCTCTAAGCTGTGGAACCAGCTCTGGTTTTGCTCTCTGAATGGGATATGAATGAGAGTGGGTAGAGAGGGGAACAGATTCTAGAGGCTGGGTGCTTGGGTTCAGACCCCAGCTCTGCTGTTTACAAGCTGTGTGACCTTAGGTAAGTTACTTGACCTCTCTGTGCCTCAGTTTCCTCACCTGTAAAATGGGGGTGATAACAGTAGCTTCCCCCTGGGGTTGTTTTGAGAATTAAGTACTTTTAAATGTCTAAAGCACAGAGGACTGGATGCTTTCTCTGGTCCTCTCCACTCTGCTCTGAGGTCCCAGTGTCACCCAGTCCCTGTCAGGGTCTCACCCCGCAGCTCCAGCTCCACCAGACCGCTCTCATCCTCCAGCCCATCAATGACCTCACAGCGGTAACGCCCATAGTCCTCCAGCCGCAGATCCTGGATCTCCAGCGACACATCATACTCCTTGTCCTGCCGCAGGTGCACACGGCCTTGGTAGTCCCCAAAGGTGCGGTGCCTCAGCCCGATGGCCACCAGCACATCCTTCTCTGGGGCCCCATTCTCTGACAGCTTCCACCATTTGATGCGCACGTGCCTCGGGGAGACCAGGGCTGGCTCATAGCGGTATCGGCAGGGCAGGATCACGCTGGCCCCTTGGTAGGTGAACAGGGTTTCCTCGGGTGTCTCCACCACCAGCTTCACTCCATTGAGGAGGTCTTGGGGGAGAGGTGGGGTGCAGATGAGACCTGCTGCAGCACGTCTGTACCCCTGCAAGGGCCACCACATACCTCATCCGCAGCTCCTCCAGGCTCAGATTGCAAAAATGGCCACCAGGCTCCACCCCTCCCTGTATCCACATGCTCCGCAACGTGACTTTGCGTCTGCTTCCATCCAGAGATGACATTTATCCCCCACCCCCTTGAATCTGTGCTGGCCTCACCACTTGCTTTGACCAACTGAATGCCTTGGAAGTGACTGCTCATCAAGCCTGCTCTGAGCATAGGTCCCAGGGGGCCTTGCTGCTTCCACCCTTTTCCTTAGGACTTTGCTAGTTACCATGAGCATGTGGCGGGGCTTGCCTGCTAGAGGATGAGAGGCTACACAGAACGGAGACAGAGTACCCCAGTTGAGGCCATCCTACAGCAACCAGCCCCCCACTGACCTGCCCACCAGGGGCAGGCACATCTGCAACACCCAACTGCAAGATCTGAAGAAATGGAGCCCACCCCAAAATGCTGACCCACAGAATCATGAGCTAAACAAATGGCTGTCATCTTAAACAAGTCACTAAGTTTTGGGTGGCTTCTTATGCATCAAAATTTAACCGATGCAGCAGGCAACCAGAGCCTCCCCACATGAGGTATGTGGCCAGGACAAGTGGCCCTGACAGGGATCCCTCAGAGTTTCCTTCCCCACCACACTGGCCAGAGGACAGCACAGCCCTGGCTTCAGTCACTGATCCAGCTGTCCACCATGCCTCTTCCCAAATACCAAGCAGCCTAGTAAGCTAAGGGCAGAACTTCTAAAGGAGACTACGCTCAGGGCTCAGAGTTACAAATACACACAGAACCCAGCATGCAACAAAAGAATCAAGTTCATAGGCTAAGGCTGCCTCATCTTTAACTTGGGAGCCCCTATTGGGACCTCACTGTTTCATTCTTTTGGGTCTGGACTTCAAGACATGCTTGATTTACTCAAGGTGGGGACAGAGGCCAGGTGCGATGGCTCATGCCTATAATCTCAACACTTTGAGAGGCCAAGACAGGAGTATCACTTCAGACCAGGAGTTTGAGACCAGCCTGAGCAACACAGCAAGACCCTGTCTCTATAAAAAGTGTTTAAAAACTAAATGAATATGGTGGCATGTGCTTGTGGTCCCAGCTGCTCAGGAGGCTGAGGTGGGAGTATTGTTTCGGCCCAGGCGGTCAAGGCTGCAGTGAGTTATGATCGTACCACTGGGTGACAGAGCAAGACTCTGTTGCTGAAAACAAAATGAGAACAAGTTAATTAATTAAAAAGGTGGAGGTGGCCGGCATGGTGGCACGTGCCTGTAGTCCCAGCTACTCGGGAGGCTGAGGTGGGAGGATCGCTTGAGCCCAGGAGTTCTGGGCTGTAGTGCGCTATGCTGATTGGGTGTCCGCACTAAGTTTGGCATCAAGATGGTGACCTCCTGGGAGCCGGGGACCACCAGGTTGCCTAAGGAGGGGTGAATTGGCCCAGGTCAGATATTCATGTGCTGATCAGTAGTGGGATCGTGCCTGTGAATAGCCACTGCACTCCAGCCTGGGCAATATAGCAAGACCCCATCTCTAGAAAATAAAATAAAAATTGGAGACAAGGGGACAGCCTCAAGGGTAAGCAGGAGACAGACAGGGAGGTTCCCTGTAGAGGAATGACGTGGAAAATGAGCTATATCGAACGTGGCAGATTCCCACATGCAGAGGTCTCAAAATGTGGTCCCAGACCAGCAGCATTAGCAACACCAGGAATTTGTTAGAAATGCACATTGTTGGGTCCCATGCATCAGAAACTCTGGGAATGGGCCCCCGCCTCCAGGGGACTCTCAGGCTCATTCCAGTTGGAGCTGCCCTGGTCTGCAGTGGCAGTATGTACAGAGCTTTGGAGTCAGCAAGCCAGGCCTGCATCTTGGTTCCACCTTTTCCCGGCTGTGTAATCCAGGGAAGTCTAGACTCAGCTTCCTCATTTGTATAATGGGTTAATTACAATCTCCTGTAATCCCAGCACTTTCGGAGGCCGAGGCGGGTGGATCACAAGGTCAAGAGATCGAGACCATCCTGGTCAACACGGTGAAACCCCATCTCTACTAAAAATACAAAAATTAGCTAGGCATGGTGGTGCGTGCCTGTAGTCCCAGCTACTCGGGAGGCTGAGGCAGGAGAATTGCCTGAACCCAGGAGGCGGAGGTTGTGGTGAGCCGAGATCGCGCCATTGCACTCCAGCCTGGGTAACAAGAGCGAAACTGTGTCTCAAAAAAAAAAAAAAAAAATTTACAGTCTCCACAGAGGGCTGTGGTAGGTTCAAATCAGGTAAGGCAGGACACCTGGACACAGAAAGTGTCCAATAGAGATGAAGCAGGACTATCATTTAGGGGTCACTTCCTTGGTTCTTCCCAACTCTCTGAACTCTCTTGAGTAAAGCTATGTTTGAAGCTTTGCCCTGAATAAAATGAACATGTACATCCATATGATAAAATACTATCCAGCCATGTCAAATAATCTGCTAGATGTATATTCATTCATTGACTTCGAAAACGATTTGTATTCCATGAGGTGATAAGAGAGGCTACAAAATCACATGTATGGCATGAGCTGATTTTTGTTGAAGAAAGTTTTCTAAATCATAAAGGAAAGCCCGGCCAGGTGTGGTGGCTCCTGCCTGTAATCCCAGCACTTTGGGAGGCTGGGGCAGGCAGATCACTTTGAGGCCAGGACTTTGAGACTAGTCTGGCCAAAATGGTGAAACCCCATCTCTACTAAAAATACAACTAGCTGGTCATGGTGCATGCCTGTAGTCTCAGCTACTGAAGAGGCTAAAGTGGAAGGATCTCTTAAGCCCAGGAGGTGGAGGCTGCAGTGAGCCGAGATCACACCACTGCACTTCAGCCTGGGAGACACAGTGAGACCCTGTCTCAAAAAAACAAAACAAAAAGAAAAGAAAAGGAAAGGCTAGAAAGAGATTCCTAAAATGTTAGCAGTGGTTCCTCTGGGTGGGGGGATTATGTATGACTTTGCTTGCATATTCAGGGACGAAAGGGAGAGAGAAAAATGTAATATTGGCCTGGTAGTGTGATGAAACCAAGGGTAGGAAGTTTAAGTTTTTTAAATTACACAAATCTCATTAAAGTAGCGCTTGTACAACAACATAAATTCTGAAGGAAAAAGGTATGGTGGGCTAAACAGTGGCCTCCCAAACACCCTGAATCCTGATCCCTAGAACTTCTGAACGTTACCGTGTGTGGCAAAGTGGGCTCCGCAGATGCTGTGAAACTAAGGATGTCGAGATGGGGAGAGTACCGTGAACTTTCCAGATGGTGTTTAGAGGGAGGCAGAGGGAGATTTGCATATGAAGGAGGAGAAGGCCACGTGACCATGGAGGCTCCGACTGGAGTGAGGCGGCAGCCTCCAGAACTGGAAGAGGCAAGGCAAGAACAGATGCTCCCCAAGAGCCCTGAGGAGGCACAGTCCTATCCACACCTCGATTTCTGCACAGTGAAACTGGTTTTGGATTTCTGGTGCCTAAAACGGTGACAGAATATACATTTCTGTTGTTTCAAGCCACTAATTTGTGTTAATTTGTTACAGCTGACCTAGGAGACTAATGAAAAGGGGGGAAATGACTCTGCAGGCAGGATCGTCTGTGGAAAGGCAGAGGGGCGGCTGGGAATCACCCAGCCCCTACACTCACTTGCAGGCTCATACATCGTCTCTGAACCAGGCTGTGAGTATCACTGAGATCAGTAAGCTGGTTCCATCCTTCCACGAACAAGTGGAACAAGTTTGTCTTTTTTTTTTTTTTCAGACAGAGTCTCCCTCTATTGCGCACGCTGGAGTGTAGTCGTCATCTCCGCTCACTGCAACCTCCGCCTCCCAGGTTCAGGCAAGTCTCTGCCTCAGCCTCCCAAGTAGCTGGGATTACAGGCGTCTGCCACCACACCTGGCTAATTTTTGTATTTTTAGTAGAGATGGGGTTTCACCATGTTGGCCAGGCTGGCCTTGAATTCCTGACCTCAAGTGATCCACCCGCCTCAGCCTCCCAAAGGGCTGGGATTACAGGTGTGAGTCACCGCACTCGGCCCCCAACTTGTGTTTTTAATAGCTGTGTGACCTGGACAACTGAATCAACTCTCTGAGCCTCAGTTTGCTCATCCACAGGAAGGGAGGGTAACAGAATCTACTTTCAGGCTGTGAGGGCAGGCAGCATCAATTCAGCCTGGTCAGCACTCATGCTGCGCTGATAGTTAAAAATGTGTATTTTCACCCTTGCCTACCTCAGGGCTTTTGTGATTTTTATAGATGACATATGCAAAGTATCTAGAAGCACGCCCAACCCATGTTGGGTGCCCAGTAACTGCTACTTTAAACAGTTCCCTACCCAAGACCACACAGCTACTAAGAGGTAGAATTGTAAGATTCAAACTCGGGCTCAGCAGGAGGGCTCATGCCTATAATCCCAGCACTTTGGGAGGTCGAGGTGGGTGGATCACCTGAGGAGTTCGAGACTGGACTGGCCAACAAGGTGAAACTCCATCTCTACTAAAAATACAAAAATTAGCCAGGCATGGTGGCACGCACCTGTAATCCCAGCTACTCAAGAGGCTGAAGCAGGAGAATCGCTTGAACCTGGGAGGCAGAGGTCGCAGGGAGCGGAGATCATGCCACTGCAGTCCAGCCTGGGCAACAGAGACTGTCTCAAAAAAAAAAAAAAAAAAAAAAAAGATTCAAACTCACATCTATTTGACCCCAAGCCCCCTTTCCACTGGGGGGACCAGGAGAGGACACATTTAAGCTGGACCTTGAACAACTGGCAAGACTTTTAGGAAAAGTAAAAACCCTAAGTGACTAAGGGGCTGGCAACACAGGGAAACTAAATCACCCTTCCTCTGTCTTAGGCACACTGGTCCACTACAAGGGCCCTGCTGGGACATGGCTGCTGCATGGGGCCCTGTCCCTGTCCCAGCCTGGAACCCACAGATCACAGCAGGAGCCAGGGAGGTCTAGATCACCCAGGGGAGCAAAGAGCTGGGCGTGGGAGGTCGCCTACCTTTGCCATGGCCATTGCCTGCGTTCTGGTCGTTGGCGCTGTTGGAATAGTAGAAGCCATTGTAGAAAGGCAATCCGTAGGTGACAGGAAGCAGGAGTGGCAGGACCAGGAGCAGCAGGACCAGGAGCATCAGGCCCATCTCCTCATGCCAGGGTGACCTGGGCCAGGCTGGGGCCCCTGGGCAAACTGGGAAGAGGAGGAAAACAAGGCAGCTAGAAAAGCCGGGCAGCGCGGCCACATCCCTCCGCTCCAGCACCGCTCACTCACTTGCTCAACCGCTCACTACAGGAGACCTTCAGCCTGCGTGCCAGACACTGTTCCCAGAGCCAAGAAGACAGCTCTGGGAACAGTGACGGTCCTGCTTTCAGGGAGCAGCACCTCAAAGGCAAGATGGGCAATAAGCAGACAAATCATAGGAAGGAAGTAACAGGCAGCTAAAAGACAGTAGAGAAAAGTGAGCAGGATGATCTGACAGGCTCAATGTTTTTCAAGCCAGAGGTTTGAAATTTGAAAGGTTGTGAGGAACGTTTTTTAATGACGCCAAATAAACTAGATTAGAATAGTAGAAACTATGAGGGTACATAGATGGAATGTCAAATAAAGATGAATCCTACATTGAGAAACTTTTTTTCCGGTCCACAAATGTCTGTGGGAGGTGAGGTAGAGGGTGACAATGTAAAATGCAGTTCTTAATCCTCATCAAGGTCAAAAATAATGTTTTTCATTGTAAAGTTATTTATTGTTATTATTTCTACATGCTAATGTTTTTGCATACTAACGTTTACCTGTATATCTTTGCCCAGGCTGGTCTCAAACCTCTGGCCTCAGGCGATTCTCCTGCCGTGGCCTTAGGCTGGAATTACAGGCATTCGCCCAGCCTGTGTGCTCTTTGTATTTAGTTTGGTTGGTGTGGCGTTTGTTGTTGTTGTTTTGGTTTAGTTTTTTTTATTCTTATTTTTTTGAGACAGGGTCTTGCTCTGTCACCCAGGCTGGAGTGCAGGGGCGCAATATCAGCTCACTGCAAACTTCACCTCCTGAGTTCAAGTGATTCTCGTGCCTCAGCCTCCCAAGTAGTTGGGATTATAGGTGTGCACCACCATGCCCAGCTCATTTTTGTATTTTTAGTAGAGATAGGGTTTTGCCATGTTGGCCAGGCTGGTCTCGAATCCTGACCTCAAGTGATCTACCCACCTTGGCCTCCTAAAGTGCTGGGATTACAGACATGAGCCACCGCACCCAGTAAGGTCAAAAATAATATTTTTTTTAATTTTTTTTGAGACAGAGTCTTGCTCTATCACCCAGGCTGGAGTGCAGTGGCACGATCTTGGCTCACTGCAACCTCTGCCTCCTGGGTTCAAGTAATTCTTGTGCCTCAGCCTCCTGAGTAGCTGGGATTACAGGTGTATCCTACTTTAAACAGTTCCCTGCCCAAGGCCACACAGCTACTAAGAGGTAGAATTGTAAGATTCAAACTCAGGCTGGGCACGGGGCTCATGCCTATAATCCCAGCACTTTGAGAGGTCGAGGTGGGTGGATCACCTGAGGAGTTCGAGACTGGACTGGCCAACACGGTGAAACTCCATCTCTACTAAAAATACAAAAATTAGCCAGGCATGGTGGTGCACACCTGTAATCCAAGCTACTCGGGAGGCTGAGGCAGGAGAATTGCTTGAACCTGGAAGGCGGAGGTTGCACTGAGCCAAGATTGTGCCATTGCACTCCAGCCTGGGCAACAAGAGCAAAACTACATCTTAAAAAGAAAAGAAAAGAAAAACAAAAGGAATTATGAAGAAAGGATCAGCCCTGTTCCCAAGAACGACAACCCAGGAGGAAGCTGGCCCTGGCTATCCAGCCCCCAACTCCTCAAGACCACCACAGAAGTGCCACCAGCTGGATGGCCCAAGACCAAGTCCAGCCCAGTCCCCTTGGCAGTGGATAGCTCCCCAAATCAGCTGAAGTCCTGCCTGGGCACTCAGACCTAGGCTCGGTATTGGAGCAGGACACACTGCATCCTGCTGAGTTACTTCTGGCAAGTTCAACTCTCTGTGCCTCCATTTCCTCATCTGTTAAAAAAAAGGAGGGGGGACAGGCACGATGGCTCACACCTGTAATCCCAGCACTTTGGGAGGCCGAGGCGGGTGGATCATGAGGTCAAGAGATCGAGACCATCCTGGTCAACACGGTGAAACCCCGTCTCTATTAAAAATACAAAAAAATTAGCTGGGCATGGTGGCGCGTGCCTGTAATCCCAGCTACTCAGGAGGCTGAGGGAGGAGAATTGCCTGAACCCAGGAGGCGGAGGTTGCGGTGAGCCGAGATTGCACCATTGCACTCCAGCCTGGGTAACAAGAGCAAAACTCCTTCTCCAAAAAAAGGAACTTAAGGCTGGGTATGGTGGCTTACACCTGTAATCCCTGAGCACTTTGGGAAGCTGAGGTAGGTGGATCACCTGAGGTCAGGAGTTCGAGACCAGCCTGGCCAACATAGTGAAACCCTCTACTAAACCTCTGCTAAAAATACAAAAATTAGCTGGGTGTAGTGGCAGGTGCTGCCTGTAATCCCAGCTACTAGGGAGCCTGAGGCAGGAGAATTGCTTAAACCTGGGAGGCGGAAGTTGCAGTGAGGCAGTAAGCTGAGATTGTGCCACTGCACTCCAGCCTGGCTGACAGAGCAAGACTCCATCACAAAAAAAAAGGAACTTGATGGGCTGTGGTGATGATTATGGCATGTAGCAGGTGCTCAACAAATGAACATGGCAAAGATTTCAGGCTCTAGAAGGAGACTGGACACCTGGATTCAGTTCTGGCTCCACCCAAATACTAACCCTCTGTCATGGGACAAGTCATTGCACCTCTCTGAGCCTCAGTTTCTTCATCTATTAAATGGGGGTCACAAGCTGGGCACAGTGGCTCATTCCTGTAATCCCAGCACTTTGGGAGGCTGAGGTGGGCAGATCACCTGAGGTGAGGAGTTCGAGACCAGCCTGGCCAACATGGAGAAACCCCATTTCTACAAAAAATTCAAAAATTAGCTGAGTGTGGTGGTGGGCACCTGTAATCCCAGGTACTTGGGAGGCTGAGGCAGGAGAATCACTTGAACATGGGGGCAGAGGTTGCAGTGAGCTGAGATCTCACCATTGCACTTTAGCCCGGGCAACAAGAGCAAAGCTCCATCTTAAAAAAAAAAAAAAAAAAAAAAAAAAATGGGGGTTACGACAATACTAACCAGAAAACACTTTTGTGAAGACGAAGGGAGAGAATATCTGCAGAGCACTTAGAAAACTGCTTGATAAGGAGCAAGGGCGGGGAGAATACGGCCTGCAACTACACCTGGGAGCAGTCTGCACAGTGAAGTCTTACACTGCCTCAGTGGCTCTTTCTCCTCTCTCACTGCCTAGAGAGAACACAGTCACCACTGCCTCCTCTTCACAGTTGAGGAAACTAAGGCCAAGGGTGTGGAGGTCAGTGAACTGCCCGAGGCATTATTTTTGTCAAATATCTCGAACTTAGAGAAAGTTGACGGCCAACCCTTTGCTTTTCCCAGGCACCTCTTCCCTAGGGACCCCTCCACCTAAGAACAATAAGCTGAGCCTGGGCTTGGGGGGAGGGTGGGTGCCACCTTCCCGTCAGGTGCACATCAGCACTGGGCTGCCCGGGAGTACAAGTACCCCAGATACGAGCAGGAGGCAGCCTCACCCGCGAAGTCTGCCCGAGCGCGGCTCCCAGCGAGAAATCTGACATCCCTGTCCCTGTTTGGACAAGGCTTGACGCGCGCCTTTGAAACCCGCAGCCCCCAGGAAAATGAAAGCAGGACGCGTTTCCTACCAGCATTCCCAGCACGCCGGCCCAGGCAGCGCTGCAGGAGAGGAGCCAGGGCCAGCTCAATCGCCACCCCGCTGCTGCAGGAAGCACAGGCACTCCCGAGGGTCAGCGCTGGGCACCGACGTCCGGACACGGTCACAGGCTGCCTGCGGCCACCCAGCGGACTGGTGGCAGGACTGAGTCCAAGTGCCGCGCTGTTTCCATCCTGGCCGCGCAGGAGCCTCGGTTCCTCCCTAGGGGTCGCCATCCCCCACCCAGGGTTCTACCCTCTACCCTCCCTGCCCTTCTGGCCTCGTTGTGCCTGGGGCAAGAACCCTGGTGAGCGAGGCCTGGAACCCACAGGCATCCGTTGCGTTTGCCCCAGCGCTGCGGGCCGGCCGCGGTCCGGGGGCTCAGGTTGCCGCCCGCCGCCTCGCAGGTTGCCCCCAGCCCCTCCCAGGACTCCCGGCCCCCGGATTATTCACAGGTGCCCAGGAGCAGACTGGGGCGCCGCGGACGGCGGTCTTCTGACCCCGGACGCACAACACGGGAGGGAGCCGAGCGGCCCCCGGCGGAAAGGGGACTGGAGCTGGAAGGTGGTCTCGGAGGCCACGGGGTCCATTCGGGCTCTGCGCCCCCGCGGTGGGCACGAGGTTCCCAGGAGAGTCCACCCGCGCCCCCGCGCAGCTCCCACCCCACCTGCGCCCCGGGCGCCCCTCGCCCGCGATCATGGCCCATCTCAGCCCGAGCCTCCGCAGTGCCCAGCCCACGCCTCCTGCCCCTTCCCCGACCCTGCCCGGGTGGACCCGCAGGGCACCCAAAGCAAGAGGGAGAAACCCGGCCCGCACACAGCCCCAGAAGCCCGTCGACCCGGAGCCACGTACCGTCCCCAGGCGGCTCCTCGACAGCGCTGGGGGGCCGCGAGCTGTCCCGGTCCAAGGCGGCAGTAGGATTTGGGGAGCTTAAAAGGCCAGAAAGGAAGCGGCAGCGGACAAACCCCCGGGCGCCCGCTGGACCAGCCCCTTAAAGGAACACGAGCGCCTTTCCCTCCTAAGGGCTGGGCACGAAAGGAGTTGCTGCAGACATGAGCGGTCTCCAGACTCGCTGGGTGGGAACCCCCGCAAAGGCGGTGTGAGAGAGTTGAGGATTTCACGTCTTGGGAAAGGAAAGTAGGGGTGGAATAGGAGCGTTTGGGGAGGGGGGATCCCCTTTGAAAGCCTAGTTTGCCAAACCCCGTGGAAGGAAGCAGGGAAGCCCCTGGCCAGCATTCTGCTACCTGCTAAGGCTGCTCCCCACCTTTGGGTGTGGAAGAGGTGAGACTTCTGTATTACTTTTCCCAACAGAAAGCAATGGAGTGAGGCCGGGCACTCACGCCTGTAATCCCAGCACTTTGGGAGGCCGAGGCTGGTAGATCACCTGAGGTCAGGAGTTCAAGAGCAGCCTGGGCAACATGGTGAAACCCCATCTCTAATGAAAATACAAAATTAGCCGGGAGTGATGGAGCATGCCTGTAATCCTGGGGAGGCTGAGGCAGGAGAATCACTTGAACCCAGGAGGTAGAGGTTGCAGTGAGCCAAGATCATGCCATTGCACTCCAGGATAGGCAACAAGAGCGAAACTCCATCTCAAAAAGAAAAAACAAAGCAAGGGGTTGCTGACATCCTCCTGCCCCTGAGTATGGCCATGATGAGACACTGGCCAGATGCCTAACTCACTGTAAGGCACACAGCAGGTGCTATCCTTGGGACATGGGGCTTGAATGAGTGTCCCTGGCTGGGAGGGAACCACAGGATGGAATGTCTCTGCAGCCTGCAGGGGCAATCGGGCTTCTGAGTGGTCCCCCAACAGGGATGGGCCGCCCTTTGGAATCCAGCTATCAGCACCGCCATCTAGACAGCCATTCAGGATGCCTCTGTTTGGACAGGGTGCTTTCTTTCCTGTCCAGACCAGTGGGGTCCCTGGCCTGTGCAGCCTGATGCTTCCTCAGCAGCAAAGACCCCGTACAGCCTGACGTTTCCTCAGCAGCAAAGACTAAGGAGGTCCTTCAGCTTTGGCTGGGGGGAAGGGTCGAAGCCTCACAGGATCACAGGGTCACAGAGCCCAGAGCCTCTTAACACAGCCCAAGTTGGCCCATGAGTGTGTGTGTGCGTGCATGCGTGCATGTATGTGTGTGCGTTACACACAGCCAGGAGCAAATCAGAGCACAAAGAACTGTGATTAACAGGTAAACAGAACCTAAAAGGAATGCCAGGCTTGGTGGGCAAAGGGGAGCCAAGGAAGGTTCCTCTGCAGGTTCCCAACAGGGGAGAGGATGGACAGCAGGGAAAGCCCATTTCGTTACAGTAAGTTGAGTTGAACATGCCAGCCAGGGGTAGGGGCAGCCAGCAGGTGGAATCTTAACACTCACCCTCTGCCTTGCATTTGGGCAGAAAAAGTCAATGTGTAGGAGTGATGGTAAAAGCTGGGCAAATGGAAGATGTTGCTGAGGGAGAGAAGCCAAGGAAGGAGGGGCTCAGGAGTGAAGGACTCCGCTCCAGGGTCCCACGAGGGAGTCTTTCAGAAGGCTGTTGCCAACCCATCCCAGAGCGGAGATGCTTCTCCCACTGTCTGTTCATCCCAAGGGGAGGCTGGAACAAGGGTTCAGCAGGAAATGCCCCCAGGAAGAAGTCCTGAGGCTCGAAGGCACCCAGAAAGACTTGGCTCAAAACCCAACCCACACCGCTCCACAGAAGAGAGCTCCAAAACAGGAAGCAGTAGGTCAAGGGACCCCCCGAAGAACGGCGTCCCCCATCCTCAGTTCCTAGGAAGACCACTGCCTGGACCTTTTTTCCGAACCTGCCAGGCCCGAGAGCCCAGCATCGGTAGGTCTCAGAAAGGAGCCACTTCAGTGCATTTCCCTGGTGTGGTTCCAGCAAAGCCACGCCCTCCCTTTGGCAGCCCTGTGGCCCCACCTCCTGCTGCTCAGAGGCACCCCACCTCCTGTTGCTCAGAAGCACCCCCTGCCTGCAGAGCACAGGACAGCTCCCAAAGTTTGGGAAAATTCACCTTGAAAACAAGGGTGGCTTTTTCTACACCTCTTCCCAAGCTAGTCAAGCCTCTGACTGCAAGTCACCCTCCCAGATCAGCAGGACGCTGGCCTGCTCGGCCCACCCTGACTTCTTGATGGCCCCCACACAGGGGAGAGCAGTGAGGGTACCCCTAGAGCACACACGCCAGTGGCCTACCAGGAACCAGTGTGTGTTCAGCCAGGAGGCCTCGTGCACACTTGGCAGAGCCCCGGCCCCGCCTCCAGTCCCACACTGCACCCACCCTAGAAACTCCCACAGTTTTGAAGGCGCGCAGGTTCACTGGATTTCTAATAGTTTCTCCAGCCCCACTCCAGTTGCAGAGAGAATGGAAACTGCTGAAGGGGAAAACCAGCTGGCCCAGCCTGGCCTGTCTTCCTGGAAGGAAGGGAGCAAGGCATTCAGGAGACAGCATCTGCCAGGTGCTCGCTGGGCCCCTGACCAGGCAGCAGCTGTGGGTCCCAGGGCCAGACAGGCATGGAGGTAGAAAGCAGAGGGAAGAAGGAAAGTAAGGCTTTGAGGACCTGACTCCCTCCAGGCCACCATGGACCACAGTCACCCACCACCTGCTATGAAGCTATCTGTAGTCAGGCAGGTAACACAAAGCAAGCCGGGGCTCAGGGAGGACCACAGGTCGGGGGGTGGGGAAACCAGCACAAATTAAATCCCATTCCCATGAAACAAGAACGAACCACACCAAGAGTTCCGTGAAAAAGATAAATATATTTTGGAAGCTGCCTGTGTCCTCTGGGGTGAAGAGCCAGCACCAAGGGTCCCGAATGCCCACCCTGCTGGCCTGCACCCTCCTCTGACCTCACTCCCTTATCTCCCCGTAGACCTGCCCCACCCCCTTCTATCTCACTGGGCTTCAGGACAAGCGACAAGAGAGGTCTCCAGGGAGACAAGGGGAAGTGTCTTGGGGGCAGGGGGCAACAGCAGTTGTGGCCACATGGTACCTCAGGGCTGACGGGCAAGAGGCTATCATCTCCAGCCTGGCACTTGTGGGCCTTTCTTGAGGTCACCATGGGAATGCAATGTGTGGGAGAGGGGCTAGGAGAGCAGAGACACACATGACTGGGATCAGGGGTCTGGACAGGGGCAGGGAAACCACACGCCCTACTTTGCCCTTCCCTGTCAGTCCCAGATCTACTCAGCTCCCTCGGTGCCTAAGAAAACAGGACAGTGAGGGCTGGGGTTTAGGGGCTGAGGGTTAGGGGCTGGGGGTTAAGGACTAAGGGTTAGGGGCTGATGGTTAGGGGCTGAGGGTTAGGGGCTGGGGATTAGGGGCTGGGGGTTAGGGGCTAGGTATTA